GTTTGCAACAATTTGTACTTCTTGGTTCTTGTTGAGTAGCTCAACAATGTCAGTAGTATATGAAGACAATTTGTTTGTTTGTTTTTTTGGTTCTTGTCCTTTGTTGTGTTTCAGAGCCTTGTTAGGCTTGGAATGACTTGTACATCACCCATCTCATGTCAAATCAGGGGTGGAATTAGCACAAATTACGAAAACAGTTGCTAGTGTGCTTTAGGGTTTTTAGCAGTTGTTTGCTGTGTTTTCTTGGGATGGTTTTGCAGTCTGCCTCACCTTATAACATTGTTTTCCAGAACAGCCTTTCTGGTTGAAAATGACCAACACGTCAAATATCCAATGGAAGATTGAATGGTGAGCAGCTACGGTACCGTATTCCATTCCATCTGCTGGCTCCTTCAACTGGGATTGGCTGAGTCTTACACACACTTGTAAGGGCTTGTAAGTTGGTTCTTTATAACTTGTAAGTTTTAGGTCTGCGTCGGAAGCCGTTACAGGAAGAATCTTCTCCTGCTTGTGTCCATGTCGTTCTGTTGAAGCAAGAGGGCAACGGATGACAGGGAATTGAGGAAAGGGGGAAGTTGTGAAGCGATGACGGCTAAGCTGACAGAGTAGCCGTTGATGAACTTACCTTGTACACCCACTTGTACACCCACCAGCACAAAAAAACTCACCTTGTAGACCCATTCGTACTCTCCTCCCTTGGAGTCAAACGTGCCCCGCTGCACACTCATGAGCTTGAGAGTGAATCGCGGACCGCACTCCTGCACCCAAGGTCAACCGAGACACGAGCGACCAGGGACAAGAGTGGGAGAAGACAAGAGGGGGAGCTGATGGAAAACGGGTGGGTTGGTGAAAGGAGTAAGCTGAAGTGGAGAGCAGCCCTGCTGGTGCTCTTGCATCAGTCTCTAAGGGCTTTTGAGGCACCTCAAAGTCGTCTAAACCCGAAAACTGGTGGGTTGGCGAAGGCAGAAAGCTGGAGAGCAGCCCTGCTGGTGCTCTTGCATCAGTCTCTGAGGGTTTGGTCAACGAAAAATCAGCCCCTCTGATTTGCACCTGCAGCTTTGTGGGCATGAGCACAAAGATACACAAAGAACCACCCCCCCCTCCCCCCTCCCTCTTCAATCACATCTCACCTGCAGGCGTGTGAAAATGCCTAAAGATGTGCATCTGAGCATCTTTAAGCATTTCACACACCTGCAGGTGAGATGCGATGGAGGAGTCAAACATGCCCCGCTGCACATTTATGAGCGGCGGCTGAGAAGGCTGCCGGTTTTCCTCCCAGCCGCCGCTACCGCCGCTGGTGCCACCGCTGCCAGCCCTTCATGTCACCTTCCCCCATCCAACCTCATCTCCTCATTAGCCAGCCCATCACCTCAATCGCATGTCACCTGCAGGCGTGTGAAATGCACAGATATGCGCCCAGACTGCCAGTCTTCTTGCTTGCTCCTGATGAGCTGCCCCTTTTTCATAATCTCATCACCCGTCCCGCACTTCACAATCGCATCCCGCACTGCCGGCCCCCTCACTCTCTCTTCTCACCTGCAGCCGGGTGAAAATGCCCAGCGATGCGCCCAGACTGCCAGTCTTCTTTCCTGCTGCTGCCGCCGCTGCTGGGCCCCCTTCATCTCACCATTCCCTGTCCAACCTCATCTCGCCATCACTCCACTCTCTCTTCTCACCTGCAGGCGTGTGAAAATGCCCAGAGATGCGCCCAGACTGCCAGTCTTCTTTCCTGCCGCAGCCGCCTCTGCCGCTTTCTTGCGCTTCAGCAGGCCCGCCCTCTCCTTCTCCTCCCTCGCCTTCTTTTTTCTCAACCCAGCGACTCGTCCCGCTTCTCCGGGTCCTCAAATATGTACCTGGTGCACGGGAGGGGGGAAGATAATGTTTGAGTGTTGACTGGTATGTTCTTAATCGACTCACACCACACTCGCTCTCTACCCCAGTGACTCATCCCGCTTCTCCGGATCCTCAAATATGTTCCTGGTGGGAGAGAGTGAAGGAGCAGAATGGGCGTTTTCGAACGTCTTAGTACTCAAGGCACACGAGACAGGTGTGCGGCACGGTAACAACTTTTGAGACGTCTCAGAACTCAAGGCACACAAGATACGTGTGCGGCACGGTAACAACTTTTGAGACGTCTCAGAACTCAAGGCACACAAGATACGTGTGCGGCACGGTAACAACTTTTGAGACGTCTCAGAACTCAAGGCACACAAGATACGTGTGCGGCACGGTAACAACTTTTGAGACGTCTCAGAACTCAAGGCACACAAGATACGTGTGCGGCACGGTAACAACTTTTGAGTCGTTTCAGAACTCAAGGCACACAAGATACGTGTGCAGCACGGTAACAACTTTTGAGACGTCTCAGAACTCAAGGCACACAAGATACGTGTGCGGCACGGTAACAACTTTTGAGACGTTTCAGAACTCAAGGCACACAAGATACGTGTGCGGCACGGTAACAACTTTTGAGACGTCTCAGAACTCAAGGCACACAAGATACGTGTGCGGCACGGTAACAACTTTTGAGACGTTTCAGAACTCAAGGCACAAAAGGTACGTGTGCGGCACGGTAACAACTTTTGAGACGTTTCAGAACTCAAGGCACACAAGATACGTGTGCGGCACGGTAACAACTTTTGAGACGTCTCAGAACTCAAGGCACACAAGATATGTGTGCGGCACGGTAACAACTTTTGAGACGTCTCAGAACTCAAGGCACACAAGATACGTGTGCGGCACGGTAACAACTTTTGAGACGTCTCAGAACTCAAGGCACACAAGATACGTGTGCGGCACGGTAACAACTTTTGAGACGTCTCAGAACTCAAGGCACACAAGATACGTGTGCGGCACGGTAACAACTTTTGAGACGTCTCAGAACTCAAGGCACACAAGATACGTGTGCGGCACGGTAACAACTTTTGAGACGTCTCAGAACTCAAGGCACACAAGATATGTGTGCGGCACGGTAACAACTTTTGAGACGTTTCAGAACTCAAGGCACACAAGATACGTGTGCGGCACGGTAACAACTTTTGAGACGTCTCAGAACTCAAGGCACACAAGATACGTGTGCGGCACGGTAACAACTTTTGAGACGTTTCAGAACTCAAGGCACACAAGGTACGTGTGCAGCACGGTAACAACTTTTGAGACGTTTCAGAATTCAAGGCACACAAGATACGTGTGCGGCACGGTAACAACTTTTGAGACGTTTCAGAACTCAAGGCACACAAGATACGTGTGCGGCACGGTAACAACTTTTGAGACGTCTCAGAACTCAAGGCACACAAGATACGTGTGCGGCACGGTAACAACTTTTGAGACGTCTCAGAACTCAAGGCACACAAGATATGTGTGCGGCACGGTAACAACTTTTGAGACGTCTCAGAACTCAAGGCACACAAGATACGTGTGCGGCACGGTAACAACTTTTGAGACGTCTCAGAACTCAAGGCACACAAGATACGTGTGCGGCACGGTAACAACTTTTGAGACGTCTCAGAACTCAAGGCACACAAGATACGTGTGCGGCACGGTAACAACTTTTGAGACGTCTCAGAACTCAAGGCACACAAGATACGTGTGCGGCACGGTAACAACTTTTGAGACGTCTCAGAACTCAAGGCACACAAGATATGTGTGCGGCACGGTAACAACTTTTGAGACGTTTCAGAACTCAAGGCACACAAGATACGTGTGCGGCACGGTAACAACTTTTGAGACGTCTCAGAACTCAAGGCACACAAGATACGTGTGCGGCACGGTAACAACTTTTGAGACGTTTCAGAACTCAAGGCACACAAGGTACGTGTGCAGCACGGTAACAACTTTTGAGACGTTTCAGAATTCAAGGCACACAAGATACGTGTGCGGCACGGTAACAACTTTTGAGACGTTTCAGAACTCAAGGCACACAAGATACGTGTGCGGCACGGTAACAACTTTTGAGACGTCTCAGAACTCAAGGCACACAAGATACGTGTGCGGCACGGTAACAACTTTTGAGACGTCTCAGAACTCAAGGCACACAAGATACGTGTGCGGCACGGTAACAACTTTTGAGACGTTTCAGAACTCAAGGCACACAAGATACGTGTGCAGCACGGTAACAACTTTTGAGACGTCTCAGAACTCAAGGCACACAAGATACGTGTGCGGCACGGTAACAACTTTTGAGACGTCTCAGAACTCAAGGCACACAAGATACGTGTGCGGCACGGTAACAACTTTTGAGACGTCTCAGAACTCAAGGCACACAAGATACGTGTGCGGCACGGTAACAACTTTTGAGACGTCTCAGAACTCAAGGCACACAAGATACGTGTGCGGCACGGTAACAACTTTTGAGACGTTTCAGAACTCAAGGCACACAAGATACGTGTGCGGCACGGTAACAACTTTTGAGACGTCTCAGAACTCAAGGCACACAAGATACGTGTGCGGCACGGTAACAACTTTTGGGACGTCTCAGAACTCAAGGCACACAAGATACGTGTGCGGCACGGTAACAACTTTTGAGACGTCTCAGAACTCAAGGCACACAAGATACGTGTGCGGCACGGTAACAACTTTTGAGACGTCTCAGAACTCAAGGCACACAAGATACGTGTGCGGCACGGTAACAACTTTTGAGACGTCTCAGAACTCAAGGCACACAAGATACGTGTGCGGCACGGTAACAACTTTTGAGACGTTTCAGAACTCAAGGCACACAAGATACGTGTGCGGCACGGTAACAACTTTTGAGACGTTTCAGAACTCAAGGCACACAAGGTACGTGTGCGGCACGGTAACAACTTTTGAGACGTTTCAGAACTCAAGGCACACAAGATACGTGTGCGGCACGGTAACAACTTTTGAGACGTCTCAGAACTCAAGGCACACAAGATACGTGTGCGGCACGGTAACAACTTTTGAGACGTCTCAGAACTCAAGGCACACAAGATACGTGTGCAGCACGGTAACAGAGGTCGTTAGGCAGAGCGTGAGTCCGTTCATGCGTGCTCTGCCACGCACATGTGGTGGCGGAAGAAGATAAAGTCCCTCTGGTTGTGCAGAGTGACCACTCTCCTGCCCTTGAGCTGAGTCCAGGTTAAGTGGTAATATTCACAGTCACCCACTTTGTGTGTGTGCCATTCAGTGGTAATATTCACACTCACACACTGTGTGTGTGTGTGCCACACCACGCACCTGTGGTGGCGGAAGAAGATGAAGTCCCTCTGGTTGTGCAGAGTGACCACTCTCCTGCCCTTGAACTCTGGGTCCTGCGGGAATAGAGACGCCAGCAGACTGGTGGAAAGGAGGTGATGCGGCAAGGGGAAACAGATGTTAGGAAATGGGTATGGGAAGGAAAGGGGGCGAGATTCAGAAGTTGAGAAATGTCTGAGTCGGCTGAGAACATCAACCGTGGGTACTGCAGGAAAAGAGATGCCAGTAGGCTGGGGGCAGGGAGAAATGAAGCTGCCCGGCCTTTTCATGAAAACCACGCACGGAGAGGAGAACCTCTCCTCAACCCCTCCCCCTCCCCCTCCCCCCCCCCCCCCCTCTCCCCTTCCCCCTCCCTCCCCAACGCGCACAGCCCCCAAAAACACACACGCACCGTCCCACTCGGTGCCCTAGGCGAGTGGAGAAGTTGTTGAGAATGAGCTCTGGCAGATGCGACGTCGCCCGCCCTGCGTTCTGAAAGTGGAGCGAGGAGAGGAGGGTCAGGGAAGAAGGAGAAGGGAAGGAAGATAAAAAGGTATGTACTTTAGAGATTTTCTAGAACACCCTTCTGTGTGAGGAGATGCGAGGCCGCTTGCCCCACGTTCTAGATCTGAAACCTACAGCTTGACACTGAGAGGGGCTCTCACCTTGATGTCTTTTCTCAGGACAAGGCTGGAGAGTTTGAAGAGAGCAGTGGGGCCCTCTGGCAGGCCAATGAGCATGAGTGCGTCTGCATGGAGGGGGGAAAGGTGGAGGGGGGAGAAGGAAATGCATGTGGCAAATGGGACCTTTTTTTTTTTTTTTTTTTTTTTTTTGGACGCGCTCAAGAGTCGAGACCAGAGATGAAACGAGAGATGAAACGAGAGATAGAAGGGACTGAGACGGGCATGGACTACACGGTGCCCTCACTCCCTTTCCAAAGCAATAAGGTGGTTTTTGAGGCGCCTCAAAAACCACCTCAAGGCATGGTCTACACGGTGCTCACACTCCCTTTCCAAAGCAGAAACCACGCATGTGTCTCCCTTTCCTAGTGCCAAAGCGCGTGCCAGCCAAACCGCTTGCCACAGCCTGTGCCAATGCGAGTGAAACGAGTACCCACTTGGCTTGTTTCGATTCTCGTTGATCACGATCATAGCCGTGTAGTCCCTCGCTGATGCGTACTGCACTATCTGCACTCGCAGGCAGGAGGAGGGGAGGCAGGGGTAGGTGTTGCTAGTCACGCTACAGCCGTGTATTCCCGTGCCAATGCACTGCAGGATTTGCACTCGCAGGCAAGAGGGAAATAAGGAATTGGCGCATACAAGCCGAGACTTTTTCCTCCCAAACAAAGGCAAGAAACGGTGAAGAGACGGGAAAGAGACAGGAATTAAGGAGAAGAGACGGGAAAGAGAAGCATGTGATGTGACAGAAGATAGAGCGGCACTGCACGCACCTCCCCTCGTGCTTCACACGCACCTCCTTGATGCGATATTGCCGCCTCTCATAGTACTCCGACCCTGGAATAACCACTAAAAGCTCCTTTATGAACTGCTTCATTGTCTGCACACAAGGAACGCACAGGGGAAGAATCAATGATGACAGAACCGGGTAACACAAGCAGACGGTAAAAAACAAACAGCTCAGCCTAGATCACTTCTGCTGTACAAATCGATCATCCCGAGCAGCACAAAAAAAAGAAAAGAAGAAAAAACGACCTGCAGTCACAGGACTCAGGCAGACGTGGTGTATCCTATGGAATTGATACAATCTGAGCCACACCTGGTGTATCCGTTGGCACGTGGTGATGGGCACTTTGGGTAACGTGCCTTGAAAGCCGCTCCGTTACCCACCGTATATAGTGTTTTATCCTACCCACAGCACGCGCCAGGCACACCTGGTCCTAACCACAGCGCGCGCCAGGCACACCTGGTCCTAACCACTGCACGCGCCAGGCACACCTGGTCCTAACCACAGCGCGCGCCAGGCACACCTGGTCCTAACCACTGCACGCGCCAGGCACACCTGGTCCTAACCACTGCGCGCGCCAGGCACACCTGGTCCTAACCACAGCACGCGCCAGGCACACCTGGTCCTAACCACTGCGCGCGCCAGGCACACCTGGTCCTAACCACTGCGCGCGCCAGGCACACCAGGTCCTACTCACAGCAAACGCCAGGCATACCGGGTGTATCCGTTGGCACGTGGTGATGAGCACTTTGGGCGGCCTCTCTCGGTTGAAGTGCGGCGCAAACTCGTCCTGTGCCTCGTCTGCATGCAGCTGCCGGGTTGCCATGGGAGGGTAGTGGTGGGAGGATAGAGGGAGTGGGGAGAGAAAGGGGGTTCTCTTCATGAGGCGAGGGAAAAACGAGTGCGGAGCAAACTCGTCTGCATGGAGCTGTGGTGTTGCCATGGGGGTAAACGGTTTGAGGGGGGGCGGGAAGGGGGTTCTGTTCATGAGGCGCCTGAAAATCATGTGTGGAGCGAACTCGTCCTGAACTGCCTCGTCTGCATGCAACAGCTGGGTTGCCGTGGGGGGTTTGGTAATGGTGGGTGAGGAAGGACGGAAGGGGGTGAGGAAGGAGGGAAGGGGGTAAGGAGGTGGGAAGCTCTTTACGTGAGATGAGGGTAAGGAGGGGGTAAGAGGGACGGAAGGGGGTAAGGAAGGGGGGGGGGGTGATGGATGGGGGGAGGTTGGTGGGGAACGAGGGAATGAGATAGAAAATTTGCACAGATTGGTAACGCTTATCTTCACACCGCATGATCCGTATGAACCACAATTCATCAACCCCTCTCACCCACCATTCATCAAACACTCCCCATCCCCTTCCCCTTTGTAGTCCATCCCCCCCTCGTTATAGTCACCTCGTCGTCGTCAGGCTGCGCTATAGTCTCGTCCACCTCCCGCGTGCTGTCGATGGTGCGAGCTACCTTCCGTGGTGGGGCCTGAGAGGGTTCGAGGTTTTGGCAGGGTTTACGGGGAGTACGAGTTCGCGGGGATTTGGACAGCTGGGGAGTAACGAAGGATTTGCGATTATAAAGCGAATAGGGCCGGAAGCTGCCTAAAAGATTTAATCCAGAAGCCGCAAACCTAAACCCCCTTCTGGCGAGGCAATGACTGAACGGTCAGTTCTGCGGCCCAATGCTGAAGGGTTTCTGCGCCCACCTCAGGCCCATCCCAAATATTCCCCCGATCTGCCGTTTCTATGACCTAACGGTTCCGCCGACCTATCTCTTGCCCCGACCTACCGCTTCCCCCAACGCCACTGCGCGTTCCTCCTCTTGACGCCGCCGCTTCAGCCGCTGCTTCTTCCCCTTCTCCTTCTCCGCGCGAAGCTTCGCCGTCACTGCCGAACGCTTCTGCTTGTTCTTAATCTGCGATGGCAGCAATCTCGCCGGCAAAATCTCTCCGGCAGCAGCATCTCGACCGCCGCCACGTGGAAGCGAACTCCCTTCGTTTCGATTGCCACGTGGACACGATCCCCCTTCGCTCTGAATGCCACGTGGACGAGAGTCATTGTCGCTCGGATTGCTCTGCTGGCCTTCGCGATCCTGCTTCTTGGGTTTCACAGCTGCGGATTTCTTGCTGACTTTGATGCCTTTGCTCTTATCTTTCTCTTTCCGACCGCCATCGGCTGCCATGCCGTGCGAAAGACGTGGCGAACGGCAAATTACGGAAGTTTGCCCTGCGATCTTTCAGTCCGCGGAGTTGTCGGCAGTTTCAAGGACGGGGAGGCCAGGTCGAGAAGGGAGAGGTCTCGAAAATTGTGATGGGGCACACGAACTTTTCGAGGGTAGAGTGAAAAAGAAACATCTCGCACGAAGAAAATTGCACTGTCATGCCGTAACTCGTTAGAGAGAGAACTTCATTGCATTAACACATATCTTAGAGAGTATGGTGCATATCCAAGGCATGATTCCATCAATTTGCTGACAGGACAGCTGCGGCACTCAAAACAAAACAACAACAAAACAGGTAAATTCTCTATTAACTTTGTAATATACCACACCTTTAGAACACAAAAAATAATGAAGGAACAATGGCAGATCAGGAGAATTGACGATTGTTACAGCAGCAGCAACCGCAGTCGCTTGGATCAACGGTCGTGATCATGCTTCGGGCCTTCGTCAGTCCCATTTGTGAACTCTGATTGGTTGAAGGACGTGCCATCATACATTTCAAACATATTCGGGTCCGCTTCGTAGAATGGCTCGTCGTCGTCAATCTCAATATTGCGCGCAATGCTCCATGCCACACCCTGAAAAAAAAAAAAACAAAGAGATAAAAATAAATCATATGGCACGTAGCAGTACCAAACACATTATCAGAAAGCGCACATTGCACAAGAGGCTCTGTATGCACCACAGTAGGCAACTGCATAATTGCATACAGGACATTATGCATGATCACATGCTAGATTACATGCATGACTACATGCAGAACTACACAACGGATTTGCATGCATGACTAAGACTACATTCAAGTCTACATGCATGGCTACATGCATGACAGCGCACATGCGTGACATTACACATGCATGAAAGCACATATGCATGACAACAAACAAGCATGACTGCACACATGCATGACAACAAGCAAGCATGACAACACACATGCACGAAAGGACACATGCATGGACTCACAAGGTTATAGAGGTAGATGAAGTGCTTGAAGGGGTTCATCCATGGCTTTGCCTTGATTGCAGACATGCCCCCACTCACTTCCTCTCCCTCCTCCTCCAACTCCCTGTGTATATCACACCAGGCAGAACGGGGAATGGGAGGTAGTCAAAGACAAAGAACCATAGGATATTGAGCCAATTAGAAGTTGCCCCCACTCACTTGCTCGCCCTTCCCCTCCAACTCCCTGTGCACACCACCGGGCAGAACGGGGAACGAGAAAGAATCACGGACAAACGGAAATCAGAAAGCAAGGAGAAAAACACCAGTCTAGAAGACAGCGCTTGTTCTCAAGGGGCAATGTTGGTTATGGATAAAAAACACACCACTTCAGAAGACAGGCAACCGCACCGGTTTAACCAGATAACAGCAGTAGAGCAATCATCATACCTCTTAATTTCGACATGTCTCGATTGTACGTCTCAAATTTTAAGACCTCTCAAAGAAGATGGTGTACCACCCCCCACATCCCCCAAAAGAGCCTACTTCTTGGCAAGGTGGCCGCGGTAGGGCAGCACAGCAAGGTACATGGGGCAGGCGGAGGTGGCTTGCTGTGGTGCTCCCTCAAGGCACATCACATACATCTTATGCACGTGTGATGTGAGACAACAATGGTAGGGGCATACTTCTTGGCGAGGTGGCCGCGGTAGAGCAGCACGGCGAGGTACATGAGGCAGGCGAAGGTGGCCATGACGCCGTACAGGATGAAGAGGTTCTGAAAGCCCTCCGCACCTAGGCTCTCCGATGATGCCCCACTCGCGTCTCCACTGCACGTCAGGTTGTGCTGTGGGGGGAGGGGCGGGTAGTTGAGGGCGGAGGAGAAGAAGGAAAGAGATCATGCTGACACAGTCTGGAAGCAGAATAGCCCCTCTGAAAGCCTGCCCCACTCGCGTCTCCACTGCACGTCAGGTTGTGCTGTGGGGGTGTTTTGAGGGCGGAGGCACGGAAGGACGAGGTCAGGCTAGCACAGTATGAAGCAGACCCCCAGACGACGCCTCTGAAACCCCTCTGAAAGCCCTCTGAAAGCCCTCTGAAACCCCTCTGAAACCCCTCTGAAGCCCCTTAGCTCCCAGGCTCTACGACGATGCCCCACTCGCATCCCCACTGCACGTCAGGTTGTGCTGTGGGGGGGCTTAGAAGGCGGCAGCAAGAAAAGAAAGGTCAGATTAGCCTGGTAAGGAAGCAGGATAAAATGCAATGAAACACATGAAGGCAAATCACCCCTACAGGAAAATCACCCCGGATTATCACCCCTTACAGGCATCACCCCATACAGGCCTTCTAACCCCTTACAGGCACATCACCCCTTACAGGCACATTACCCCTCACAAGTCAGTAAACACTCACAGGCACGTAGTTCCTGTGGATGGTTCGTAGCTCATATACACTCTTCCTCTCTCTCTTACAGGCACATTCCCCCTCACAAGTCAGTGAACATTCACAGGCACACCCATGCTTACAAGCCTGCTGACACTCACAGGCACACCCATGCTTACAAGCCTGCTGACACTCACAGGCACACCCATGCTTACAAGCCTGCTGACACTCACAGGCACACCCATGCTTACAAGCCTGCTGACACTCACAGGCACACCCATGCTTACAAGCCTGCTGACACTCACAGGCACACCCATGCTTACAAGCCTGCTGACACTCACAGGCACACCCATGCTTACAAGCCTGCTGACACTCACAGGCACACCCATGCTTACAAGCCTGCTGACACTCACAGGCACACCCATGCTTACAAGCCTGCTGACACTCACAGGCACGTAGTTGTTGTGGATGGTTCGAAGCACGCCTGACTCGCTCAGCTGGGCAATGGCCTTGCTCAAGTCAACGGCCAGATTTGATCCCTTCTGGAAGGCCTGGTGAATCAGAGGAGTGCGGGGTTGGTTGAAGAGGGGTGGAGAGGGATGAAGAAGGGTTGAAGAGGGTGGGAGAAAGGTGCTGGCTTGGGAGAGCCTGGTGTTGCAGCAATGGTCGCGTCTGCTGCCACAATAACTGCACCCACACTCACTCACTCACACACACACCTCCTTCCAAGCGCCACACACTCACAAAGGCCCATCCGAGGGTGGAGATGTCGGCTTCCCCCGTGGTGAAGGAACAGTCCTGCGAGAGAATGAGGTCCAGGAAGGGACGCTCGCCACGCCCTTGTTTTACAACCCTCCAGACTCTTCAAAGACCACTCAAAGACTGCAACAACACATGGGAGGGTATTGTATTGCACTCACTAAGGCCCAGTCCATTGTTGAGAGATGTCGGCTTCCCCCGTGGTGAAGGAAGAGTCTTGCGAGAGAATGAGGTCCAGGAAGGGACGCTCGTCCACCACGCCCTACTTTTACAACCCTCCAGACTCTTCAGTGACCACTCAAAGACTGCAAGAATACACGGGTGGGTATTGCACTTACAAAGGCCCATCCGAGGGTGGAGATGTCGGCTTCCCCCGTGGTGAAGGAACAGTCCTTCGAGAGAATGAGGTCCAGGAAGGGACGCTCATCCACCACGCCCACCACGGTGCCGTTGAGCATGGCCTGAGCGTACTCGTCCACGCTGTTGAGTGCCTGGAGCTGCTTCTGTTGTGGGACAGACAGAGAAATGGAAGGTGGGAGGAGTGTGAGTGAGGTGCACGCACCGTTCACAGCCCACCGCGGTGCCATTCAGTATGGCCTCTGCGTACCCGTCCACGCTGTTGAGTGCCTGGAGCTGCTTCTGTTGGGGGGAGACATGCAAGGAGGAAGGAGGAGCATGTGAGTAGCATGAGTCTGTTGGGGGGGGAGACATGCAAGGAGGAAGGAGGAGCGTGTGAGTAGCATGAGTTGCTCGCACCGTTCACAGCTCACTCCCCCCCACCACGGTGCCCTTCAGTTCAGCATGGCCTGTGCGTACTCGTCCACACTGTTGAGTGCCTGGAGTTGCTTCTGTTAAGGTGAAAGGGAAGGAGTGTGTGTGAGTGGGATGAGGTGCACAAGTGTGAGCAGCATGCGGAGCACAGTGCTCACAGTCCAGTCCACCTCCCCCACCCACCACGGTGCCGTTCAGCATGGCTTCTGCATACTCATCCACGCTGTTTGACTTTTGAGACGTCTCAAAAGTCGTTCAGCATGGCTTCTGCATACTCATCCACGCTGTTTGACTTTTGAGACGTCTCAAAAGTCGTTCAGCATGGCTTCTGCATACTCATCCACGCTGTTTGACTTTTGAGACGTCTCAAAAGTCGTTCAGCATGGCTTCTGCATACTCATCCACGCTGTTGAGCGCCTGGAGCTGCTTCTGTTGGTGAGAAAGGACAGGGATAGGGATGATGGAGTGGGAGTGAGTGAGTGGGATGACGCCCATCATATACACCCCACCCCACCGTTCACAGCCAGCCGATCTCCCTGCAATGTGCCATGCCATTCAGCATGGCTGCTGCATGCTCGTCCATGCTGTTGAGTGGCTGACGCTGCTTCGGTTGGGGAGAGCGGACAGAGGCGAGGAGGAGGGAGGCGAGGAGGAGGTGCTGCTAAGTTTTTGAGTCTACTCAAAAAGACAATAAGCCATTGAGCCTTCTGAGATGACTCAGAAAGAGGTGAGTTGCTTGCGATTCAACTCAAAAGACACTCTGCTGCTTTGAGCCCTGGCCAGCAAGGGACTTACCCTGCGGACGCCAAAGCCCAGGAGGTGCTGCTCGGAGAATGAGCCGTTGAGATAGCCCACCACAGAGCCCGATGTGATCACTGCTGCCAGGGACTGCCATGGGGCGCAGGGATGGGGAGACGGGTGGGGGTGAGAGGTGGAGGGCAATGGACAAGTTTTGAGATGTTGAGACGATTGAGGAGCCGTTGAGATCAAATAGCCCAGCACAGAGCCCGATGTGATCTCTGCTGCCAGGGACTGACACCGGGCGCAGGGAAGGAGGGGCAAGGGGTGGGGTGGAGGGCAAGAGGCAAGGGGTGAGGGACGAGAGGGAGAGGCTTAATGATGACTCAAGAATGAAAGAAGGAATAGAGTAGATATTATGCATGTACTGTACACAACACATACTGTACTGTACATATATCAGTGAGTAGAATACCTGTACAGGAGGAGTGAGGTTGTTCACAGTGAGGATGGAGGTGAGATTGGCAGTGTAACTGCATGTGACGATGAGAACCACAAAGAGCCACGAGATGACCACAAAGCGCCCTAGAACTGTGCCCACGTGCTGCTCTGTAAGGAGGAATGGGCGAGTGGGTGGATGGGTGGGTGGGTGGGTGGGTGCATGCATGTATGAGCATGTAACTGCAGGTGACAATGAGAACCACAAAGAGCCACGAGATGACCACAAAGCGACCCAACACTGTGCCCACGTGCTGCTCTGTAGAGGGGATGGGCGAGTGGGTGAAAAACAAACGAGAAGGGGTGTTTCAACTTTTCATATCTACGTATGTACATGCCTTGAACTCAACAATTACACGAGCAGAGCAGCTATCCTGTCTGGTGGACAAGCAGGAAGACAGGCATTAGTGATTTCTCAGCCCAGCAAAAAACTCAAAAGGCACAGAACCTTGGTGTGGTATCAGAGCACGTACCTTGTGAGCGGACCATGCTAGCAAAGGAAAACCTGCAGGGAAAAACCATGGGGGGGGGGAGACGGGAAAACCCATGGGGGAGGAGATGGGATAGGTGGAGAAAGCATTGGCAGGAGCCTACGACACACCAGCTATGCCAAGTCAATAAAGCTGATTTCTTAAGCGATTTTCATGCCAAAACTGAGGAGCCAAACCAGCTTCTGTGTTAGATTCACCCTCCTCAAGTGGGCTCACTACAGGGTGGTGGTTAACCGAGTTGGTTATTTCACGCTTTTCTGGAGAAGAAGAAAGGACTCACCAGAGGCTGGTGGTGAGCTGGTGGTGGTAAGTTGACTTTTGAGTCGACTCAGAAGGACTCACCAAAGACTGGTGGTGAGCTGGTGGTGGTAGGGTCCCCCTCCAAAGTCGAGGTTCTGGTTGTGCTCGAGGTACCAGATGACAGCCGCAGTGAAGACTATAGAGGCGATCATGAGCGCCCACATGCTCGCTGTGAATGGGTACAGGAACGCCCAGGGGTTGGCCGGATCGCCCTGCAGCACCGGCACCACCAGACCCAGCCCTGACTCCTGGTGGTGGGGAACGTTGGGGCAGGGCAGGGAGGCAGGGCGAAGAAGAGAAGGAGAAAGGAGGAAGGAGGAAGGAGGAGGGAGGAGAGGAGAGAGTTAAGAGGTTGCTGGGCTCGTCTCGCCCCGCAAGGAGGTACCACCAGATGACAGCCGCGGTGAAGACTATAGAGGCGATCATGAGAGCCCACATGCTGCCTGTGAACGGGTACAGGAACGCCCAGAGGTTGGCCGGATCACCAGCACCGGCACCACCACCAGCCCCAGCCCTGACTCCTGTGGGGGTTAGGTAGAGTGAAGAAGAGAACGAGGGAAGGAAGAGAGGGGGTTGACGAGAGAAGGGTGTGCTAGAGATAGGGGGTAGAGAGTCCAGAGGTTAGCTGGCTGGCTCCCCCCGTGGCTGTGAAAGCATGGGGCGGTTGGCAATGCAATGGCTACTCGTGAAACGAGGTGATTTGCAATCATGGAGTTTATTTGAAAGACGATTAAGTTGGTTTGTGAGAATTGTCAAGCACCAAATTGTCTTGTCTCATGAATCTGTTTTTTTTTTTTTTTTTTTTTTTTAAGAAACAGATAGAGCCCCAACTAGTCTCAGGCGTTAAGGAACAGATAGAGAATTGATTTGCCCCTCAACTCGAGCGAGGCGGATGCGTGGGCGGCAGGGAAGAAGAGAGAATAGGGACGAAGGGAGTGCGAGTGGAAATGAGAATGGGGGCAGGGGAAAAAAAAAAATTTGTGTGCGGATGCGCAGTGGTGGGGGGGAGGGAGGGGAAGACAGCTGCGAGGCACCTCATCGTCGTGACACTGCACGACGACTTGACCACTACAAGGTGTCACGATGAGGTGACTTCTGCATAGGCATGAGCATCGACCCGACCCGGGAATTGGCCCGGGTCGGGTCAGGTCCCCTGAAAGCCTGACCGGGCTGGGTCGGGTGGGGTTTGCCCGGCCAGGTCAGGTCGACCCGTGACCCGACTTCGGGTCGGGTCGGGTCGGGTCGGGTCGGGTCGGGTTTCGGGTACCGCGCGCTAGGTCGGGTCGGGTTTCTGGCCCAACCCGAGGGTTCCTCTCGACAAAGTGAACCAGATCGCTAAGTCGAGGGTTAGTTTCCCCCTCGACAAGTACTTCGACCTGGATTAACTAGCTAGTGACGCCAGCAGCCAACAAGCAGCAATGTCAGACTTAACTACCCTCTAACCCGTGCGCATGTTCAGCAAGTAATATACTACTCGTTTTTAGTCATTCCTACATCATGCGAATCAGCTTAGGCTTAGATTTTCTAGCGAAATTTACAGGTCGCACTCACTAGGTGCACGTATTGCGGGTCCCGCGTTTTAAATCATCCCGGCGCGCCTGGCAGGCGTGCATCGCTAAGGCCACGACCCAGCTGTAGGCCAGGGCTGCGCGCGACTGAGCTGGAATCTATCACCCTGCCGATGTGAAGTCTGGTTCCTACACCCGACCCGGACCCGACCCTACCCGGACCCGACCCGACCCGGACCCAACCCGACCCGACCCGGGGGCGGGTCAAGCCTGACCCGGTACCCTAAACCTGGGTCGGGTCAGATATCCTGGATGGTCCGACCCGACCCGACCCGACCCGAAACCCGGCTGGCCCGCCCAGGTCGGGTCGGGTCGGGTCGGGCCTTTGATCATGCCCTGCAGGTCTGTCCTCCTACTGCCATGATGGAGAACCTGTGACGCTACAATCACGTGCTGTGTGGTTGCATCAATCAATCAAGTGGCTGCCTCGGTCGGTCCCCACGAATGGCTGTGTGGCTAGTATGTGCAGTGCAGGCATGCAGTTAACACGAGAAGCTAGGAGGTTACACTTACCTGAGCAAGCATGCGGTTACTGCAAGGGACCGTCCCGTGCAGTGACCCTTATATGCAGTTACCACAAGCGCCTGTGCGGTCGTATGAGCAGCCGTGCAGTTACCAGCGCCAGTGCGGTTACCAGCAGCATTGTGGTTACCATGAAGGGCTGTGTGAAGTCCACGGTCTGAGCGCGATCAGCTGTCACTGTGATGTCCCCCACCGCCCCGTCATACTCCTGAGGCGGAGGGGGGAGGGGGAAGGGGGTAAGTGGGGAAGAGGGAACGAGGGGAAGCGGAGAATGGAGGGATGGGAGAAAGAGGGAGAAAGAGGGAGAAAGAGGGAGAAAGAGGGAGAAAGAGGGAGAAAGAGGGAGAAAGAGGGAGAAAAGAGGAGAGAAGAGGGAGAAAAGAGGGAGAAAGGGAGAAAGAGGGAAAGAAGAGGAGGGAGAAGAGGGAGAAAGAGGGAGAAAGAAGAAAGAGGGAGAGAGGGAGAAAGAGGAGAAAGAGGGAGAAGAGGGAGGGAGAAAGAGGGGGAGAAAGAAAGAAGGGGGGGAGAAAGAAGAGGGAGAAAGAGGGGGGAGAGGGGGGAGAAAGAGGGGGAGAAAGAGGGGGAGGAAGAGGGGGGAGGAAGGGGGGAGGAAGGGGGAGAAGGGGGGGAAAGAGGGGGGGGAAAGGGGGGGAAGGGGGGGAAGGGGGGGGAAGGGGGGGGGGGGGGGGGGGGAAGGGGGGGGAAGGTGGGGGAAGGGGGGGGGGAAGGGGGGGGAAGGGGGGGGAGGGGGGGAAGGGGGGGGAAGGGGGGGGAAGGGTGGGGAAGGTGGGGGAAGGGGGGGAAGGGGGGGGAAGGGGGGGGAAGGGGGGGGAAGGGGGGGGAGGGGGGGGGGAAAGGGGGGGGAAGGGGGGGGAAGGGGGGGGAAGGGGGGGGAAGGAGGGGGAAGGAGGGGGAAGGAGGGGGAAGGAGGGGGAAGGAGGGGGAAGGAGGGGGAAGGAGGGGGAAGGAGGGGGAAGGAGGGGGGGAAGGAGGGGGAAGGAGGGGGAAGGAGGGGGAAGGAGGGGGAAGGAGGGGGAAGGAGGGGGAAGGAGGGGGAAGGAGGGGGAAGGAGGGGGAAGGAGGGGGAAGGAGGGGGAAGGAGGGGGAAGGAGGGGGAAGGAGGGGGAAGGAGGGGGAAGGAGGGGGAAGGAGGGGAAGGAGGGGGAAGGAGGGGGAAGGAGGGGGAAGGAGGGGGGGAAGGAGGGGGAAGGAGGGGAAGGAGGGGGAAGGAGGGAGAAGGAGGGAGAAGGAGGGAGAAGGAGGGAGAAGGAGGGAGAAGGAGGGAGAAGGAGGGAGAAGGAGGGAGAAGGAGGGAGAAGGAGGGAGAAGGAGGGAGAAGGAGGGAGAAGGAGGGAGAAGGAGGGAGAAGGAGGGAGAAGGAGGGAGAAGGAGGGAGAAGGAGGGAGAAGGAGGGAGAAGGAGGGAGAAGGAGGGAGAAGGAGGGAGAAGGAGGGAGAAGGAGGGAGAAGGAGGGAGAAGGAGGGAGAAGGAGGGAGAAGGAGGGAGAAGGAGGGAAGGAAGAGGAGAAAGGAGGGAGAAAGAGGAGGGAGAAGAGAGGAGAGAAAGAGTGAGAAAGAGGGAGAAAAGGGAGGGGAAGGGGAGGTGCGGCGGATGGGTGTGGATGTGAGGTAACAGAGAGCGGGGGGGTTAGCAAAAGCGGACGGGGTTGAAATAGGTGGCAGGCAGGATGGACATGTGTTGGATTGGATTGGTTATTGGTTATTGGTTATTGGTTATTGGTTATTGGTTATTGGTTATTGGTTATTGGTTATTGGTTATTGGTTATTGGTTATTGGTTATTGGTTATTGGTTATTGGTTATTGGTTATTGGTTATTGGTTATTGGTTATTGGTTATTGGTTATTGGTTATTGGTTATTGGTTATTGGTTATTGGTTATTGGTTATTGGTTATTGGTTATTGGTTATTGGTTATTGGTTATTGGTTATTTCATAACGAATTTATGCATCCCCATCCATCGCACTCCCATTACACCCACCTTGTTGGCCACGCGCCGAATGAGGTCCTCGTAGGAGCTCCCCTGGAAGTCATATGCCACGAGCGAGAGTACCCCACTGGGTATGGCAGCAGTGCCATGGCTCGCTGAAACACCTCCACGCAGAAGCCTGAGAAGTTGCCGTCAGGAGTGCGGTTCACATACTGCCCCACAGCCTAGGGGGAGGGACGAGGAGAGGAGACGGAGCAAGGGGAAAGGTGGGGTGTGGAAGAGGGCGGTGAGGTGTGCAGATTGAATGGCGTCTCAAGAGTGATGCGCCATGGCCCGCTGAAACACCTGCACACAGAACCCCGTGAAGTTGCCATCTGGTCTGGAGTGCGGTTCACATGCTGCTCCACAGCCTGGGGGTGGGGGCGAGGAGCGGGGTGGGAGAGGAGAGGAGAGGGTGCAGCAGCGAAGGGCATCTGAAAGGAGAAGGGCCATGGCTCGCTCAACACCTCCTCACAGAACCATGGGGGAAAGTTTCCGTGCCATCTGGAGTGCAGCTCACATACTGCTCCACAGCTGAGGGGGGTTGTTGAAAACCCCCCTGTTACCTTCCTTCTTGCCTTTACCCTTGCTGTCCTCCCTCCTTCCTTCCTTCTTCTGGTGCTTTTTGAGAATTCTAAAAAATCACTTTTCTCTGGTCTCTTCCCCTCTCTCAGCCACAACCAATGAGAGATCCCCGCTCCCGCACGATGGCTTCCCCACAGTGGCTTAGCTACCTAATTGGACTTAGTACTGAACGGTAAGGTAGGTCCACCTATAAAGGGCAAACAAACGGGAGAGACGACTCGACTGTTGTTTCACTAGGCATTTCATTTACCCCCAAAGTCACTTTCTACATTCTTATTTCAGAAGTGGCTCCAATGTAAATGAGAAAACGGAAAGGTGGGGAGGAGGGAAAGGGGGGGAGGAGAATGATAGGATATAGAGCGAGTCACGGAGGGCTTACCGAAGGGCCGAACGGGACTGCAATGCGTAACGCCTTGCCTTTGGATGGTAACCAGCCTCGAGGAAACTGGGAGGGTGGGAGAGAAAGCAAAAAAGTGGGAGGATGGAAAAAGAGAAGAGCGAGGTAAGTGGGAGAGGTTAGGGGAAGGAACCGTCACTGCTCCAAGTCAGATGCAATCATGCAAACCGTATCCGTCTCTTGATAATTCTTGGGGTTTGCGGGGTCGTTAAAATGGGAGGGAGATTGAAATGGAGGAGCATGCACGCTGAGACTGAGAGCATGGCACCGCTTGGAAGAGATTTCACTTCACTTTTAATTCGGCTCAAAAGCCACAGCGCGGGCAATACAACACTAGAAAGAATTCGCTTTTGAGAGAGTTTCGCCAAAGCAAATTGTGCTATCTTGGAGTGTGTGTGTGTGTGAGGAATAGCTGTGTATCGTCTTGCCTTGAAGAGGGTAACCGTGACGATGGCTTGCAATGAGTGAGAGTCATTGTCTAACCTGTGATCTGTGTGCTTGGAGATGTTGGAGGTGTTACCCTAAGGTAACTTTTTTTTAGGCGCCTAAATAATCGTCTTATGTTTTGAGGCGCCTCACAAACCTGTGATCTGTGTGCTTGGAGATGTTGGCGGTGTTACCTTAGCAAGGTGTTACATACATTCCCCTCAAACATGTTCTACTTTGAAGAGGAGTTACCTTAACGAGGTGCTACCATGGAGAGGTGTTACCTTCATGGTATTGCCGGGCCAAACAGCAGGCTTCAGGGTGGTGTTAGACGGCGCTTTTGACTGGCAAAGGAATGCACAGAGGGGTGAAAGCACAGAGGGGTGAAAGCACAGAGGGGTGAAAGCACAGAGGGGTGAATGCACAGAGGGGTGAATGCACAGAGGAGTGAATGCACAGAGGGGTGAATGCACAGAGGAGTGAATGCACAGAGGGGTGAAAGCACAGAGGGGTGAATGTACAGAGGGGTGAATGCACAGAGGGGTGAATGCACAGAGGGGTGAATGCACAGAGGGGTGAATGCACAGAGGGGTGAATGCACAGAGGGGTGAATGCACAGAGGGGTGAATGCACAGAGGGGTGAATGCACAGAGGGGTGAATGCACAGAGGGGTGAATGCACAGAGGGGTGAATGCACAGAGGGGTGAATGTACAGAGGAGTGAATGCACAGAGGGGTGAATGCACAGAGGGGTGAATGCACAGAGGGGTGAATGCACAGAGGAGTGAATGCACAGAGGGGTGAAAGCACAGAGGGGTGAATGCACAGAGGGGTGAATGCACAGAGGAGTGAATGCACAGAGGGGTGAATGCACAGAGGAGTGAATGCACAGAGGGGTGAAAGCACAGAGGGGTGAATGTACAGAGGAGTGAATGCACAGAGGGGTGAATGCACAGAGGGGTGAATGCACAGAGGGGTGAATGCACAGAGGGGTGAATGCACAGAGGGGTGAATGCACAGAGGGGTGAATGCACAGAGGGGTGAATGCACAGAGGGGTGAATGCACAGAGGGGTGAATGCACAGAGGGGTGAATGCACAGAGGGGTGAATGCACAGAGGGGTGAATGCACAGAGGGGTGAATGCACAGAGGGGTGAATGCACAGAGGGGTGAATGCACAGAGGGGTGAATGCACAGAGGGGTGAATGCACAGAGGGGTGAATGCACAGAGGTGTGAATGCACAGAGGGGTGAATGCACAGAGGTGTGAATGCACAGAGGGGTGAATGCACAGAGGGGTGAATGCACAGAGGAGTGAATGCACAGAGGGGTGAATGCAAAGAGGGGTGAATGCACAGAGGGGTGAATGCACAGAGGGGTGAATGCACAGAGGGGTGAATGCACAGAGGGGTGAATGCACAGAGGAGTGAATGCACAGAGGGGTGAATGCACAGAGGTGTGAATGCACAGAGGGGTGAAAGCACAGAGGGGTGAATGGACAGAGGGGTGAATGCACAGAGGGGTGAATGCACAGAGGGGTGAATGCACAGAGGGGTGAATGCACAGAGGGGTGAATGCACAGAGGTGTGAATGCACAGAGGGGTGAAAGCACAGAGGGGTGAATGCACAGAGGGGTGAATGCACAGAGGGGTGAATGCACAGAGGGGTGAATGCACAGAGGGGTGAATGCACAGAGGGGTGAATGCACAGAGGGGTGAATGTACAGAGGTGTGAATGCACAGAGGGGTGAATGCACAGAGGGGTGAATGCACAGAGGGGTGAATGCACAGAGGGGTGAATGCACAGAGGGGTGAATGCACAGAGGAGTGAATGCACAGAGGGGTGAATGCACAGAGGGGTGAATGCACAGAGGGGTGAATGCACAGAGGGGTGAATGCACAGAGGGGTGAATGCACAGAGGGGTGAATGCACAGAGGGGTGAATGCACAGAGGGGTGAATGCACAGAGGGGTGAATGCACAGAGGGGTGAATGCACAGAGGGGTGAATGCACAGAGGGGTGAATGCACAGAGGTGTGAATGCACAGAGGTGTGAATGCACAGAGGTGTGAATGCACAGAGGGGTGAATGCACAGAGGGGTGAATGCACAGAGGAGTGAATGCACAGAGGGGTGAATGCACAGAGGAGTGAATGCACAGAGGGGTGAAAGCACAGAGGGGTGAATGTACAGAGGAGTGAATGCACAGAGGGGTGAATGCACAGAGGGGTGAATGCACAGAGCGGTGAATGCACAGAGGGGTGAATGCACAGAGGGGTGAATGCACAGAGGGGTGAATGCACAGAGGGGTGAATGCACAGAGGGGTGAATGCACAGAGGGGTGAATGCACAGAGGTGTGAATGCACAGAGGGGTGAATGCACAGAGGGGTGAATGCACAGAGGAGTGAATGCACAGAGGGGTGAATGCACAGAGGGGTGAATGCACAGAGGGGTGAATGCACAGAGGGGTGAATGCACAGAGGGGTGAATGCACGCACAGAGGGGTGAAAGCACAGAGGGGTGAATGTACAGAGGGGTGAATGCACAGAGGGGTGAATGCACAGAGGGGTGAATGCACAGAGGGGTGAATGCACAGAGGTGTGAATGCACAGAGGGGTGAAAGCACAGAGGGGTGAATGCACAGAGGGGTGAATGCACAGAGGAGTGAATGCACAGAGGGGTGAATGCACAGAGGGGTGAATGCACAGAGGGGTGAATGCACAGAGGGGTGAATGCACAGAGGTGTGAATGCACAGAGGGGTGAAAGCACAGAGGGGTGAATGCACAGAGGGGTGAATGCACAGAGGAGTGAATGCACAGAGGGGTGAATGCACAGAGGGGTGAATGCACAGAGGGGTGAAAGCACAGAGGGGTGAATGTACAGAGGAGTGAATGCACAGAGGGGTGAATGCACAGAGGGGTGAATGCACAGAGGGGTGAATGCACAGAGGGGTGAATGCACAGAGGGGTGAATGCAGAGGGGTGAATGCACAGAGGGGTGAATGCACAGAGGGGTGAATGCACAGAGGGGTGAATGCACAGAGGGGTGAATGCACAGAGGGGTGAATGCACAGAGGGGTGAATGCACAGAGGGGTGAATGCACAGAGGGGTGAATGCACAGAGGGGTGAATGCACAGAGGGGTGAATGCACAGAGGTGTGAATGCACAGAGGGGTGAAAGCACAGAGGGGTGAATGCACAGAGGGGTGAATGCACAGAGGGGTGAATGCACAGAGGGGTGAATGCACAGAGGGGTGAATGCACAGAGGGGTGAATGCACAGAGGGGTGAATGCACAGAGGGATGCACAGAGGGGTGAATGCACAGAGGGGTGAATGCACAGAGGGGTGAATGCACAGAGGGGTGAATGCACAGAGGGGTGAATGCACAGAGGAGTGAATGCACAGAGGGGTGAATGCACAGAGGGGTGAATGCACAGAGGGGTGAATGCACAGAGGGGTGAATGCACAGAGGGGTGAATGCACAGAGGGGTGAATGCACAGAGGGGTGAATGCACAGAGGGGTGAATGCACAGAGGGGTGAATGTGAATGCACAGAGGTGTGAATGCACAGAGGTGTGAATGCACAGAGGTGTGAATGCACAGAGGGGTGAATGCACAGAGGGGTGAATGCACAGAGGAGTGAATGCACAGAGGGGTGAATGCACAGAGGAGTGAATGCACAGAGGGGTGAAAGCACAGAGGGGTGAATGTACAGAGGAGTGAATGCACAGAGGGGTGAATGCACAGAGGGGTGAATGCACAGAGGGGTGAATGCACAGAGGGGTGAATGCACAGAGGGGTGAATGCACAGAGGGGTGAATGCACAGAGGGGTGAATGCACAGAGGGGTGAATGCACAGAGGGGTGAATGCACAGAGGGGTGAATGCACAGAGGGGTGAATGCACAGAGGGGTGAATGCACAGAGGGGTGAATGCACAGAGGGGTGAATGCACAGAGGGGTGAATGCACAGAGGGGTGAATGCACAGAGGGGTGAATGCACAGAGGGGTGAATGCACAGAGGGGTGAATGCACAGAGGTGTGAATGCACAGAGGGGTGAATGCACAGAGGGGTGAATGCACAGAGGAGTGAATGCACAGAGGGGTGAATGCACAGAGGGGTGAATGCACAGAGGGGTGAATGCACAGAGGGGTGAATGCACAGAGGGGTGAATGCACAGAGGGGTGAATGCACAGAGGGGTGAATGCACAGAGGAGTGAATGCACAGAGGGGTGAATGCACAGAGGTGTGAATGCACAGAGGGGTGAAAGCACAGAGGGGTGAATGTACAGAGGGGTGAATGCACAGAGGGGTGAATGCACAGAGGGGTGAATGCACAGACGGGTGAATGCACAGAGGGGTGAATGCACAGAGGTGTGAATGCACAGAGGGGTGAAAGCACAGAGGGGTGAATGCACAGAGGGGTGAATGCACAGAGGAGTGAATGCACAGAGGGGTGAATGCACAGAGGGGTGAATGCACAGAGGGGTGAATGCACAGAGGGGTGAATGCACAGAGGTGTGAATGCACAGAGGGGTGAATGCACAGAGGTGTGAATGCACAGAGGGGTGAATGCACAGAGGTGTGAATGCACAGAGGTGTGAATGCACAGAGGGGTGAATGCACAGAGGGGTGAATGCACAGAGGGGTGAATGCACAGAGGTGTGAATGCACAGAGGGGTGAATGCACAGAGGGGTGAATGCACAGAGGGGTGAATGCACAGAGGTGTGAATGCACAGAGGGGTGAATGCACAGAGGGGTGAATGCACAGAGGTGTGAATGCACAGAGGTGTGAATGCACAGAGGGGTGAATGCACAGAGGGGTGAATGCACAGAGGTGTGAATGCACAGAGGGGTGAATGCACAGAGGGGTGAATGCACAGAGGGGTGAATGCACGGAGGGGTGAATGCACAGCAGCAGAACACAGAGCGAGAGTAAGCAGGTTCACACGAACACAACATGAGAGAGAAAGGGGAGTTGTGGTCGAGGAACACAAGAGGCGCACTCACACAAAAGCCAAGAGGCACTTGCACTGTTTACAACCAGGAAGACGAGGGCTTCAAAGGTTTCAAAGGCCTCGTGCAACGAGCACTACTCACGGGGGCAGCCACAAGGCCCATGCCCTGCTCCCAATAGCCGAGGGTTTGAAAGGTTGACGCCACCAGATTGACCACCTCGTAGCTCACTCCCACGCGGTCGTTGTTCTTGTCAAACGCCACCCTGGAGGAGCAGGACGAGGGGGTGGCAAGGAGAGAGAAACAAGTCAAGACCCTTAGCTGCGCCAGAACTCCTCATGATGATGGTCACCTCGTAGCTCACTCCCACGCGGTCGTGGTTCTTGTCAAACGCCACCCTGGAAGGAAGCACAGCAGGAGGAAGGAGGGAGAGGGAACGGAGGGAGAAGGAGAGAGGAAAAGGACATGTCAAAAGTCCACCTCGTAGCTCACTCCCGCACGGTCATGGTTCTTGTCAAACACAACGCTGGGTGCACAGCAGGAGGTGGCAAGGAAAGAGAACGGAGAGAAAAGGAGAGAAAGGGAGAGAAAAGGAGAGAAAGGGAGAGAAAAGGAGAGAGGAAGGAGACATGTCAAAAGTCCACCACGTGGCTTTCGTCGAAGGCAACACTGGAAGCACAGTGGACGGAAGGAAGGAAGGAGAGACCTAGGAAGGCGGAGAGGGGTTGGAGAGAAGGGGTGTGAAGAGAAGGCGGAATAGGTGTGGGGGAGTAGAGAGAAGAAGGGGTGGGGGATACCGGGGAAGGAGGCTTTGATATTGTACTGCATTGAACGTACAGACGCATTCACACTTCAAAGGATTTCCATTAACTTAAAAGGATCCATAAGTCCTCGTGGAAAAGAACAAACAAACAACAAAAGATATATGCGCGAATTTCATCATGCTAAACGCCAACCAACAGCACTCACTTTCCAATGATGCCATCCATCTTGGTCGTGGCAAGTTCCTCCAATAACTTAAAGCCAGCTGTCAATGTCAAACAATCGGTTCGGGATTAAAAACGATTGGTTCGGATCGGATCAGTCAAGCAACAAGGGACTTTGTTGACATGATGCATTGATACCCATGCATCGCATGCACCTAGGTACCCAATTGAAATGTACAAACTGGAAGTGAAGAAAACTATTGAAGTGCTTCAAAAGGGAAACTGGAAGACAAGAAGCGCAATTTGCTGACAAATTACCCTCACTGACACCCCGCCTCACAGACACCCTGCCGTTCCTTAAAGGCTCACCCTTGCTGACGGCTCACCCTTGCTGACTCTGAGCCGAGCAAAATCGGTGCTTCCGCCGCCATCCGGGGGCAGAACAGGGCGGCGCGGGCGGAATGGAAAGCTGGCGCCTGGCAGGTGGGAGAGGTTGTGCAGGGCGCGGGCCGCCACCCAGAGGGCATCGTAGGCGAGCAGTGCGTAGGGAGAGAGCTGGGGATGAAAGGGAGGAGACAGGGATGGGATAGATAGACATGAGGCGGACGGGAAAGCTGGCGCCTGGCAGGTGGGAGAGGTTGTGCGTGCAGGACACGATGCAGGATACGTACAGTGTCGGTGCCAGAGCCGGGGTAGTTGGCGGGGTTGAGGCCCTTCCATCGCCTCTTGAACTGTCGCGCTGAGTGCGGCTAACCGGTGGGTTAGACACACTTAACACAGCAGCTAGGGTAAGTGGTAAGTGGGATAATGTAGTTTACCTTTGTTACTTTCTTTCTTTGCTTTTCTTGCTTTCAGGCGGTTTACTGTACTATACTCTAATCTGTAATGTGGGAGGCGAGTTGGTGAGGGAGAAGTCGAGGAGGAGGAGTTGTGCATGTGGAGGGCGAGCTCAGGCAGCTGAATTCGAATTGGATTCGAAGCTGGCAACTGAATTCGAAGTGCTGGCAATTCAACTCACTGCCAACCAGCCTGGATGGCGGTGCATGCCCAGTGGGTCCCAGCTCGAACCAGCTAGCTCCTGGAATTCCTCGCGACTAGCTCAGAGAGCTCGGAGGCTCACAGCCACTAGGCAGAGGATAGGCAGGAGGGAGAGCAGGGTAGAATTGCTAGGGAGGATTCTGATTCACTCGCTTTTTGCTTGTATGTCTCTCGCTTACTGCAATTTGTTTTCCTAATCCGAAGGAAGCTAGCAGTAGGAGAAGCTAACAGCAATCTGACTGACGGAGCCCTCGCGAGGGAGAGAATTTAAGACTTGTTGCTGTGCAGCCTGAGAAGCAGGGGGAAGGCAGGAGCAGCATCATCACATACACCAGGAGGAAGAAGAGGCAGACAGACGGCACTGGGGCAGGCAGGCAGGCATGAGAGGATGAGGGTGAGAGAAGAAGAGGAGGCACCGGGAGAGAGTGAGGGAATGGATGGGCCCTTCCATCGCCTCTTGATTGAACTCCTATGTTGGTGCTGCTTTTGAGAATTCTCAAAGCACCACACTACTCACAGTGTCGGTGCCAGAGCTGGGGTACTTGGCGGGGTTGAGGCCCTTCCATCGCCTCTTGAACTCCTGCAGGCGCGGGTTGTCCCGAATGGCCACTCGCGTGCCCATCATGCCCTGGTGGGGTGTGGGTGGGGGGGGATTGGTTGGTTGGGATGGGAGTAAGAAGATGGGATGATGTTGAATTTGAGTGCCTGCAGGCGCGGGTTGTCCCGAATAGCCACTCGCGTGCCCACCATGCCCTGGTGGTGGTGGGAAGGGAATCGGGAGTAAGAGGGAGGGAGGGGAGCAAGGGGAGGGGAGGGAGTGAGGGAGGGAGGGAGAGGGAGTGAGGGAGGAGGGGAGGGTGGGGACGGAGGGGAGGGCACGGGGGTTGTAAGGGGATAGGGAGAAGGGAGAATGGAATTCACTTCATTCTGGAAAAGTGCAGGCTGGACGAATGGCCTGTTACGGTAACAGTGTTACCATCATGTCCTGGTGAAAGCTCACGGGAGAGGAATGGGTTAGAGCGTGGAAGAGAAAACAAACAAAGAGGTTTGAGAACAAAACAACTTGCAGGTTCTTTCCTCTTTATGTGTGTTTTCTGGTCCCTCTATTCCCGTGTGATTGTAGGCGAGGGTAGTCTTGTATACAATATCGAGGGTGCTGCATAATGCAGGCCAAACCGTACTCACAGCGAGTGCACCGGCGTTGATAGCTACATAAACGAACGCAAGCACACCTTGAGAGTGTTGAGGCACGTGAAGTCCATTATTTAGGTGCCTCCAAACTTGACTGTTACATATTGGCTGCTAAATACCGACTGCAACATACATACATACAGTGAGAGTGCTGAGGTAGGTGGCGTTCATTTCAGCCCCCATGAGGTGGGAGATGGCTCCCTCCGTGGATATCCACACGTACCCCTCGCTCATCAACCCCATGCGCTGCGCTGCAACCCGGGAGAAGAAGGAAAGGAAGGCGGGGGGAGAGAGCCACATGGCTTGTTAAAGAGGCTGATGGTGGTGAGAGAAAGCGCCCTCCGTGGATATCCACACGCACCCCTCGCTCATCAGCCCCATGCGCTGCGCTGCAGCCTGGGAGAAATCAAGGAAGGTGGGGGGGAAGAGAGCAGGATGGCTTGGCAAAGAGGCATGCTGGTGAGAGACAGATGGCGCCCTCCGTGGATCACACGTACCCCTCGCTCATCAGCCCCATGCGCTGCGCTCAACGAGGGAGGGAGGGAGAACGAGTGGAAAAGGGTAGGGGGGAAGGAGGAGCACAGATTGCAGGTACACGGAAAAGGAGATGGTTTATGAGCTGAGTCGTGACTAGTCTAAAGGTGTACATACCTTTATTAAAGAGGAAGAACACGTTGGAGGAGGCGACGTGGACGACTAAGGACTCGAGTATCGAGGAATTCATGTATATTCGCTCTGAGTCGTGACACGTAACTAGTCTAGCGGTGTACGTACCTCCGTCAAAGAGGGAGAGTACGTTGGAGGAGGCGACGTGGTCGACAAAGACGGAGGTCTCGGAGGACTGCATGTTCTCTTCGCTCTGAGTCGTGAGTCATGTCTAGTCTCCTTGTTGACGGGAAATGGCCCCGGCCTCGCATGGGCGAAGCCGACTACGCAGTCGGATGCGCGGGAGGTGCAGCCAGCTGCTGTCAGTGGTCGACGCCGACTTGAGAGATGAAGTCGAAAGACTTGGTCGACTTCTATGGCACAACTGTAAATCCGCCGACGAGGTGAAGTTAACGTTCGACATCGACCTGGGTGGTCGGCGAAGGAGTTCGTCGACCTGGGGGCGCCGACTTGTAAGCGCCGAGGTCATTACCTGGTCGACTTGGTTACCTGGTCGACGAAGTTTTGCGGACGTCGCCAAAAAGGTTTTGGCGAAGTCGACATGCGGGCTGGTGTCCCGAGATCAACGTGGCACACCTGGCGCAACTGACGACACGTAGCCGACCTGGCGCCTGCGCAACACGTGTCGTGGTGCACGATGTGCACAACGTCTACAAGCACCTGTGAAGTGGGGGTGCGTGCACAAAGTGCACAACGTTTACAAGCGCCTGCGAAGTGGGGGTGCGCGCATGTGCGCTTTTGTCACCTGTGGTTGCAACGCTTACAAACCGCCTTGTTGCAGCATTGGCAAGCCGCCCTGGTGCAGCGCTGGCAGGTCGCCGTCTTGCAGCATTGGCAAGCCGCCTTCAAGCTGCGTCGGCACACCGTCGACTTGTCGTGCTGGCAGGCCGCCCCATACTGCGCTAAAGGTCGACCTGCCTGTGTGTTAAGTTGTTAGGCTTCTGATGTAGTCATTGCTGCCATTACTTTTTCATCAACCTAAAATTTTTTTTGCTAGTGAAACTCTTGCCAATTTGTCTTGTGAGTGCGCAAAGTAGAAAGAAAAGGAGCAAAGCTACAATCACTCATATCACCCATGCTTTCCCCATGTAATCCAACTCCTGGTGTAGAGTGACTCTCCGCATCCCTAAAGGTCGACACACATACATTCCTACATCAAAGAGGAAGTGCACAAAGGAGGAGGCTGTTGTAATTTCATAATTTATACAACATACATAGGCTAGAATTAGATCTGTAGTACACTTATAAATTGGGGGGTTGTTTAGTGTACCCTCCAACCACATTTTGTGGTTGGTTGGGATTGGTCCCTAGCTCAACCAATCCCAACCAACACACATTTGTGGTTGCTTGGGTCACAAGCAAGCTCACCCATTGGCCAACTTATTGGCCAATAGGGTAAGCTTCCCTTTCATCTCTCTCTTGCTCATTGTTTGTACTAAAGGGCCTCTTGGCTCATTATTCAATGTATCTCTTCTAGCTTTTCAACATGGTATCATGAGCTATTGGCTCACGCCTTAATCCCTCGATCCTAAGGCCACCCTCTCCTCCCCGTCCCTCAGACCTAGTCCTACTACGGTGCTCCCAAGCTCAGATCTACTCCTCTCGAGCTCCGATCTACTCCTCCCGAGCTCACATCTACTCGTCCCAAGCTCAGATCTACTCCTCCCAAGCTCACATCTACTCCTCCCGAGCTCAGATCTATCCCCCCCGAGCTCAGATCTACTCCTCCCGAGCTCACATCTACTCCTCCCGAGCTCAGATCTACTCCTCCCGAGCTCAGATCTACTCCTCCCGAGCTCACATCTACTCCTCCCGAGCTCAGATCTACTCCTCCCGAGCTCAGATCTACTCCTCCCGAGCTCAGATCTACTCCTCCCGAGCTCAGATCTACTCCTCCCGAGCTCACATCTACTCCTCCCGAGCTCACATCTACTCCTCCCGAGCTCACATCTACTCCTCCCGAGCTCACATCTACTCCTCCCGAGCTCAGATCTACTCCTCCCGAGCTCAGATCTACTCCTCCCGAGCTCAGATCTACTCCTCCCGAGCTCACATCTACTCCTCCCGAGCTCAGATCTACTCCTCCCGAGCTCAGATCTACTCCTCCCGAGCTCAGATCTACTCCTCCCGAGCTCAGATCTACTCCTCCCCAGCTCGGATCTACTCCTCCCGCGCCCTGATCTACTCCTCCTGAGCTCAGATCTGCGCATTTCGCGCTCAGATCTGCACATTCCACGCTCAGATCTACTCTCCCCCGCCCAAATCTGCATTCCGCGAACTCAGATCTGCAACTCGCTCGCCCTTGCTACTCCGACCGCGCGCCCTGGTCGTCCGCGCCCTGCCCGTCCGCACGCCCTGCTCGTCCGCGCCCTGCCCGTCCGCACGCCCTGCTCGTCCGCGCCCTGCCCGTCCGCACGCCCTGCTCGTCCGCGCCCTGCCCGTCCGCACGCCCTGCTCGTCCGCGCCCTGCCCGTCCGCACGCCCTGCTCGTCCGCGCCCTGCCCGTCCGCGCGCCCTGCTCGTCCGCGCCGTGCCCGTCCGCGCGCCCTGCTCGTCCGCCCTTCGCGTCCGCGCCCTGCCCTGCTCGTCCGCGCCCTGCCCGTCCGCGCGCTCTGCTCGTCCGCGCCCTGCCCGTCCGCACGCCCTGCTCGTCCGCGCCCTGCCCGTCCGCACGCTCTGCCTGTCCGCGCGCTCTGCTCGTCCGCGCCCTGCCCGTCCGCGCGCCCTGCTCGTCCGCGCCCTGCCCGTCCGCACGCCCTGCTCGTCCGCGCCCTGCCCGTCCGTGCGCCCTGCTCGTCCACGCCCTGCCCGTCCGCGCGCCCTGCTCGTCCGCGCCCTGCCCGTCCGCGCGCTCTGCTCGTCCGCCCTTCACATCCACACTCTCCCCGTCCGCGCACTCGTCGCACGCCCTCCTTCCCCGCTCGCTGTCCCCCCTCCCCTCGTCCGCCCCCTGCCCACCTCCCCGGCATACCGCACATTTGCAAACGCATACCGCACACCTGTCAGCACATACCGCTCACCCGCCTGCTCACACCGTCAGCTGCCTGCGCATACCGCACACCTTCATGCCCTGCTCGCCTGCGCCATGCCGTAACCGCCCACACTCACATTGCTCCCTCCATGGCAATAGTCGCCCTGGCATGCAGCAGAAGTGGTGCCGGTGGGCATGGAGGAGGGCATAGTGGTAGCTGTGGTGGTGGTCAAGGGAGACTCGCAGGATATTGTGGTATCAGGGGTTTGAGCGCAGGCTGCGGCGCAGCAGCAGCCTTCTCTCCTCGTGAATATGTGCCTCGCTATGGCCCGACTCGGGGACTTCAGTGCAAAATCTCCACCCAAGCCCACCATGCCCCGAGTCAACCCCTCTCTCCTCCTCCTCAGCAGCAGCAGCAGCAGCAGCACCAGCACCAGCACCAGCAGCAGCAGCAGCAGCAGCAGCACCAGCAGCAGCAGCAGCAGCAGCAGCAGCAGCAGCAGCAGCACCAGCAGCAGCAGCAGCACCAGCAGCAGCACCAGCACCAGCAGCAGCAGCAGCACCAGCAGCTCTGGCACCTCCTCCTCCAGCTCCAGCAGTTGCTTCACCGCCTGCAGCAGCACCTTAGCCTACAAGCGCAGCTGCCTCTTCCTCCTCCTCCCCCAACTTCCCAGCAGAACTCAGTTCCGCATTGTTCCACAAGCTCCGCCACTTCAAGCAATGTCCCACCTCTCTCATCCGTTGGTATTGCTGGTATGGTCAATCAAGCCACATCAGCTACACCTGCCACATACTCCTCTAGCACTAAAGAAACTGCGTTCCAGTCCTCTGTCCCTTCCTCCTCCCTCCCCTCCACTGTCGACTTTGTCCTTGACAGCGGCGCCACTGACACAGTTCTTCGCGATGCTGGCACCTTGCGCCCCCTCCCAACGCCTACCTCCCTCCTTGGCGCCGATAGCAGCTTCTCTATCCCCTGCCATAACACCTCGACTCTCCCCTGCCCACTCTTCCCCTCAGGCACTGTCACCGGTCTCCACATACCCTCTCTTCGCGCTAATCTCCTCTCGCAAAGGTCCCTTCAACAAGCCGGTATCACCACAGTATTCCCAGCTTATGCTAACTATTGCGCTCTCTACCATTCCGCCACCGGTCAGTTCATTTCTCGCATTCCATTTTGCCCTCGCTCCCGTCTGTACACCCTTCGTGTTCCTCGCCTCCCCTCCTGTCAGGTCATCTCTCGTCCTCCCCTCCACCCTCTCATCCCACCCCCTCCTCTCCCTCCCACTAACCCGGACCTCCCTTCACGCCCCCCCCCTGACTCCTCTTGCTCCTGTCGCTCCCTCTCCCACCCTGCCGTCCTCCTCCATCACAGGCTAGGTCACCCTAACTTCGCTACTCTACGCTCCTCTGTTTCCTCCGGTCTCCTCCACGGTCTCCCCTCCTCCCTCCCTCCCCTCCCCAAATCCCCTGCCCCCCCCTGCACCGTCTGCGTTCAGAGCAAGCTCAAGCAGCAGCCGCACCGGAGCTCCCCCTCCGCTGCTGCTCAGCCACTTGATCTTGTTCACATGGACCTCTGGGGCCCCAATCCCTCTCCCACTCGCCAGGGCCATCGATACCTCCTCGTACTCGTCGATGATCACAGTCGGTACTCGTCCGTCTCTCTCCTTCGGACGAAGGCAGATGCCCCGGCTGCGATCATCGCCTGGCTCGAGCGAGCAAACACCCATTTTGGGCGCCCTGTTCGCCGCCTTCACTCTGATGGTGGTGGTGAGTTCCTTAACAACCAAATATCCTCCTATTGCCAGTCTCATGGCATTCTTCAGACTTACACCCTCCCTCACTCCCCACAGCAGAACGGTGTGGCTGAAAGTCGTGTTCGAGAGATCACCAAAACTGCCCGGTGTCTCCTTGTCCACGCCTCCTGCCCTCCTTCTCTGTGGGGCTACGCCCTCCTTCATGCCGCCCTGCTTACTAACCTTTACCCTCACCCTCTTCTCCCATCCACCACCCCCACTGAGCTGTGGACGAACAACAAGCCTGATGTCTCATCTCTTCGTGTCTGGGGCTCAAAGGCTTATGTCCTTCTTCACCCCGCTGACCGCTCCCGTTCTATGGGAAAGCTTGCCCCTCGTACCCTTCCCTGCATCTTTCTTGGTCATAACTCCTCCTCACCTGACTACCTTTTCCTCCATCCCCCCTCAGGTCGTCTATTCCGCAGTAGGGATGTGGTCTTTGATGAGTCCACTCCTTACTACTCCTCTCCCCCATCCACTGACCCACTCCCTCGTCTTTCCCGTCCCCTTGCCTGGTCTGACACCACCCCTCCCCCTCTACTTCCTCCTCCCCCCATCCTCCCTCCCCCTCCCCCACCGTCGTCCTCGTCCCACGGTGCCCCTCCCTCGTCTAGTGATATATTTGACCCGGAACCTTTGTCCTCTCCCGTCTTCCCCACACATTCCTCTCCTAGTGCCCCTCCCGCCCCTCCTTCACCTCCCTCGCTGCCGACTCGTCCTTCCCCCCCTCCCCGCACTGTACTAACCCGGTACCCCCATACCAGGTCACGTGACAGTATCCTTGGTGCACCGCCCCCTGTTACCCTCTCTACCTCTACCCTCCCCCCACTCTCCCCTCTCCTTCACCACTTCTTCCAGGCTGTTCTGCATCAACCTCCCCCTGCAGCAGCCCCCGCCGCCACCTCTCCAGCAGCGGCGCCAGCAGCAGCACCAGCAGCACGACCAGCAGCGGCACCAGCAGCAGGACCAGCAGCGGCACCAGCAGCAGGACCAGCAGCGGCACCAGCAGCAGGACCAGCAGCGGCACCAGCAGCGGCACCAGCAGCGTCACCAAAAGCGGCACCAGCAGCAGGACCAGCAGCGGCACCAGCAGCAGGACCAGCAGCGGCACCAGCAGCGGCACCAGCAGCGGCACCAGCAGCGGCACCAGCAGCGGCACCAGCAGCGGCACCAGCAGCGGCACCAACGGTCATCCGCTCCTTCCACACCTCCCTCTCTGAGGACTCCCATGAGGAGTTCCTTGACCTCCACCTCTGTGACCCTTCCCTTCTACCCATCACCTTCGACCTTTCTGGGACACCTGTCTTCGCATTCTCCTCTGCTCCCTCCGTTTTCATCCCTACCACGTATGAGGAGGCCATGGCTTGCCCCGACGCCCCACTCTGGCTCGCCGCCATTATCAAGGAGCTGGAGGCCTTTGTCGCCAACTCCTCCTTTGTTGATGTGCCTCGCCCTCCCTCCTCTACGAACGTGGTGAAGGGGAAGTGGGTGTTTCGCGTCAAACAACTGCCAGGGGAGCCGCCCGTCTACAAGGCTCGTTACTGCGCCAAGGGGTTCACGCAGCGGTATGGTTTTGACTTCTTCGATACCTTCTCCCCCACTGCCAAGCCCGCTACTGTTCGCGCCGTGCTCGACCTCGCCGCTCGCCTCAATATGGAGATCCACTCGATGGACGTCTCTAACGCCTTCCTCCAAGGCGTCCTCCGCGAGCTTATCTACATGGAGCGTCCTGCCGGTTTTCACCTTCCCTTCCCTGCGGACTCTGTCTGGCAGCTGCGTCGCCCTGTGTATGGGCTCCGACAGGCCCCGAGGGAGTGGCATGCTAAGCTTGCCGCCACCCTTGCTGAACTTGGATTCCGCACCTCCCGCTCTGACGCCAGCCTCTTCCTCCGCGCCTCCCCCTCCCCCTTCTACATCCTTGTGTATGTCGATGACATGATTCTGCTCACTGCCGACCTCAGCGAGTTGGAGCGTGTTAAGGCTGAGTTGGGCAGCCGTCTCAAGTGCAAGGACTTGGGCGAATTGCAGCATTACCTGGGCATGACAATCACCCGCGATCGCTCCGCCCGCACCATCTCTCTCTCCCAGGGTCATTACTTGCAGCAGGTCTTGGAGCGGTTTGACATGGTCCGCGGCGGCGCCCAACCTACTCCTCTTTCTGTCGGGCACCACCTCTCTCCACCCACCTCCCCCTCAGCCTCCTCCCATCCTTATCCCGAGCTCATCGGCTCCCTCATGTACGCCATGGTCTCCACTCGCCCTGACCTTGCCTACCCCATCAGCGTCCTCGCTCGTTTTGTTGGCGCAGGCAAGCATACGGAAGAGCACTGGCAGGCCGCCAAGCGTGTCCTCCGGTACCTTCGTGGCACCAAGGACTATGTCCTTACCCTCGGCGGCCCCTCCCCACCTACCCTCAGCGGCTACAGTGACTCCTCCTGGGCTGATTCCCAGCCAGATCGTCGCTCCTCCCAGGGCTATGGCTTCTCTCTTGGCAGCGGCCTTATCAGCTGGCGCTCCACCCGCTCCTCGGCTGTCGCCCTCTCCTCCTGCGAGGCGGAGTTGTATGCCGCCACCATGGCTGCGCAAGAGGCCCGCTGGCTCACCTTCCTCCTTGAGGAACTTGGTGCCCCCCAGCGCTGTCCCACCATTTGGTGTGACAATGCCAGTACCATTCACCTCACCAAAGATGATGTGTTTCACGGGCGTTCCAAGCACATTGAGCTCCGTCATTTCTTCATTCGCGATCTTGTTCAGGCGGGGCACCTTCGGCTCGACAAGGTTGACTCGGCGGCCAACCTTGCCGACATCTTCACAAAAGCTCTTCCTCATGTCGCTCACTCTTTCCTACTTCGTCTTCTTGGCCTCACTCCTCCTAAGTCGCCTCCCGCCTCTTGATTCTAGCCTTCTAGCCTTATGCATGTTGGGGGGTTGTGTTGTAATTTCATAATTTGTACAACATACATAGGCTAGAATTAGATCTGTAGTACACTTATAAATTGGGGGGTTGTTTAGTGTACCCTCCAAGACAGAGGTCTCGGATGGTTGCAAGTGTGCTCTGAATCGTGAGTCGTAGTTAGTCTCTCCAGAGCCGAGCCGTACACACATATGCACCTTCATCCAGCAAAGAGGAAGAGCACGTTGGAGTAGGCGACGTGGACAATAAAGACGGAGGTCTCGGAAGACTGCAAACTCGCTCTGAGCTGTGACGAGTCTAGAGGCGCGCGTGCACACACACACACACACACACACACACACACACACACACACACACGCATGCGCACGCGCGCGCGCGCGCGCGCACGCACACACACACACACACACACACACACACACACACACACACACACCACACACACACTCACTCACGCACCTTCATCAAAGAGGAAGAGCACGTTGGAGGAGGCGACGTGGACGACGAAGACAGAGGTCTCGGAGGACTGCATGGCGCGCAGCAGCTGTGTGATCTCCTCGTTGGTGGCCCGCGGGTCTAGTGCGACCTTGTTGGAAAACTGCAGCGGTAGCTGCTGCGACTGGTGGTGTGGGGGGATACAGCAGGTAGGTCGGGGAAAGGCGTGAGAAAGGGGTGGGCACGTAAAGAGACCCGCAGGTCCAGCGTGACCTTGTTGGAGAACTGCAGCGGCAGCTGCCGGGACTGGTGGTGTGTGGGGCAGGGGCAGGGAGTGAGTTACGAGTGAGACGGGAGTAAGCACGGAGAAATACGCGCGGTTCCAGAGCGACCTTGTTGGAGAACTCCAGTGGCAGCAGTTGCTGCGACTTGCGGGGTGTGGGACAAGTCGGGGGGTGAGGCAGGGATGGGGCAGAGATGGGTTGTGTGAGAATGGGAGAGAGGGAGGGATGTGCGTGGGTTCAGAGCGACCTTGTTGGAGAACTGCGGTGGCAGCTGCTGCACCACGCATGCCATGCCATGCCATGCCATGGCATGCCAAACCATCCCATGCCACACAGCATGTCTGGTACCTTGGACATGAGGATGTTATTGAGCGAGTCCATGACATTGTGCCCAAATGCCAACCATGCCATGCCCCATGCCATGGCCCATGCCATGCCCCATGCCATGGCATACCACCCCGCACCCTCGTCTTACCTTAGCCATGAGGATGTTAGTGAGCGCGTCCATGCCATTGAGCCCAAACACCACTCAACACCACACCATGACATGCTATCCATGCCATACCATACCATGCCATGCCATTCGAAACCAACCTTGGCCATGAGGATGTTAGTGAGCGCGTCCATGCCATTGTGGCCGAACTCATCATCTGAGAAGATCATAATAGCCTGATGCCACTGGTAGTACTGTAGTATGTCTATATGGGGGAGGGTGAGGAAGGGAGAGTCAGGGAAGGGAAGTTGGAGAGGAAAGGGATGGCTGGGCAGGAAGGAAGAGTAATGAAGACTGTGATTACCATCTGGAGTCACTGGCAGCATTGAAAAAAATGTGTATGGGGGTGGGGGGGGAGGATGTTCAACAGTGTGTGTTTTGAGTCGACTCCCTCTCTGCTTTTTGTTTTGTTAAGCCAGCAGCTGTCTAAGTTTTGCATCGACTTGAAATCGACCAAGTTTTCACAGCAATGTAACTTACATGCCTCGGCCATTGCCCATGTCGAGTCTTGTCTGGACTGTGATGACTCACCCGCCACCACCTCCATCTCCATCTGGTCGCTGTGGCTCAGGCACATTTCTGAGTCGACTCAGACTTCACTTACTCGCCGTGGCCATTGCTCGTGTCTAGTGTGGACTAGACAGCACAGCAGCACCCCTTGTCACTCACCAGCAATCACCTCCATCTCCATCTGGTCGCTGTGGCTCAGGCGCACGAAGTAAGGGAACTGCCCCTTGGATGACAGTGTGGAAAGGCAGGCAGCATCCCTCATTACCCACAGGCCACCACCTCCACTCCCACCCACCGGGAACCACTCATGTGGACTATGACGGTGACTCACCCGCCACCACCTCCATCTCCATCTGGTCGCTGTGGCTCAGGCGCACGAAGTAGGGGAACTGCCCCTTGGATGACAGCGTGGGGTCCGTTGCAGAGTAGCTCAGCATCGGCACCTGAAGGGAATGTGGGGTGGGGGGAAGGGGAGAGGGGACGAGAGGGCAGGCATGACATGAAGACGGGGAGCCTGCTCTCAGCTGCACGAAGTAGGGGAACTGGCCCTTGGACGATAGCATGGGGTCCATGGCTGAGTAGATCAGCATCGGCACCTGAGAAATGAGGAGAGGGGGAGGGGGGTGTGGGGGGGAGGGGGGGCGGAGGTGGGAGCAGGCATGATCTTGAGGAGCCTGAGGCGCAAAAAGTAGGGGAACTGCACCTTGGACGACGGCATGGGGTCCGTGGCTGAGTAGCTCAGCATCGGCACCTGAGAAATGAGGAGAGGGGGAGGGGGGTGTGGGGGGGAGGGGGGGCGGAGGTGGGAGCAGGCATGATCTTGAGGAGCCTGAGGCGCAAAAATTAGGGGAACTGCACCTTGGACGACAGCATGGGGTCCGTGGCTGAGTAGCTCAGCATCGGCACCTGGGGTTGGGGGAGGGGAGGAGGGAGGGAAGGGGGAGGGGAAGGGCGGAGGGGGGATAGCGGGAGCTGGGGGGACACGAGGAACCTGCTTTTGGGACGCCTGTAACACGGGGACGAAACCAGGACCAAGTAGGTCAGAGTTGTCATCTGAGGGTTACGGGGAGATGGGGGGAGGGGGGAAAAAAGGGGTGAGGTTGAGGAGAGGGGGGAGGACGGCCAAACACGAGAGGAGACTGGGAGAGACGGCGATTGTGCTTTTGAAACTCTCACGAACGGAGCCCGCCAAACTGAGAGTCTGTTTTGAGACGGAGAAGCTTAGCACAGACACCAGGGGAGAAGAGGGGAGGAGACAGGGAGAAGGGGGTAAAATAGAAAGGAGAAGGCGACAGGGGAGGTTGGAGAATGGTACTACTAGAACGCAAGACACGACTGCCAGCACGCACACTAAGTGAAATGGTAAAACTGTCCACAGTGCATGCATATTCCCCTATACTAAAGCGATACTGTACTAAATATATAGCATGTATTGTGTTGCTGTGTTGTACTACTACTGTTCCAGTGTAATGGTGCATGCACTAGTGTACTAGTGTACCTGGTAGTCGCGGCACAGGTCGATGATGCTGTGAGCTTGCGAGGAGAACTCAGGCCCCAGCAGCACCAACGCATCGTCAAGCATCGTCTGCAATCCTGCGTGCGTGAAGTCACGTTATGTGATGTGATGTGACGTGATGTGATGTGATGTGATGTGATGTGATGTGATGTGATGTGATGTGATGTGATGTGATGTGATGTGATGTGATGTGATGTGATGTGATGTGATGTGATGTGATGTGATGTGGTGTGGTGTGGTGTGGTGTGGTGTCGTGTCGTGTCGTGTCGTGTCGTGTCGTGTCGTGTCGTGTGGTGTGGTGTGGTGTGGTGTGATGTGATGTGATGTGATGTGATGTGATGTGATGTGATGTGATGTGATGTGATGTGATGTGATGTGATGTGATGTGATGTGATGTGATGTGATGTGATGTGATGTGAGGTGAGACCACCAGGAAAACGAGTTTGAGTTTTCAGTTTACTCAAAAATGCTGGAGGAGAAGGAGCAACATTTCTGCAAGCGCTGGGTTTGGGAACAAAAGGGCCCGGGTTGTTTGTGACGAGTGATCGTGGGTTTGCGACGTGTCGTGTGAGTGAGCGTTTTTTGTGACATGCGAGAGTGAGGTTCGTTTGTGCACGCAATTATGCGCTCATGACGTGCAAGCGTGAGCCAGTGACGTGCGAGCTTGTGACGTGCGAGCGAGCATGAGTTTGCAAGGTAAAAGGCACCTGCTGCCTGTGCTTGGAACCTGGTGCTTCCCGCGTCACCGAATGACAGCCTCAACGGATGGGGGAACGTTAAGGAGCGGTCCGCCAATACATCCTCGTACGCCAGCTGGATGGCTGTGATTGGACAACGGAGAGTGAAGAAGCACGGGCAGGTATGATAAGATTCTGGCGAAATTGGAAACCGTTGAGTTACAAGACTTGCGAAGGTTGCCCATAACTGACAGACAGTCAATCTCACGACAGAGAATAATCATTAGGCAACCTTAGTGCAAATGATAGCCTAAGAACGATTTTCCTTGAACAAAATTGCGGGAGAGGTGTTGTAACGCCTGTGAGCTGGTTAATGGGCGTTCCGCTGCGTCAGAGCGGAATGCCCATTAACCAGCCCACAGGCGTTACACTCGTCCCCCCGTGGCGTCAACGTCCCCGTTGGCTCTCTACTTAGGGAGTCGGCCCCCTGCTGCTGGGACCTAGATTTCGCAGTGCTGCTTGCTGCGACTTCGCTGGTTGCTCAGGCCAGCGGAGGATCGTTCGTTGGGTCCTCAATTCTCGCCACAGGCGGAAAGTGTGGACCTGCCGGAGATTCGAACCCCAGGCTCTGGTACCAGTATAACATCTCGCTACCCCACTGGGTCAAAACGAGGTGTTATATGGCGTCGCGGAATGCCCATTAACCAGCCCACATGCGTTACAGGTGTGGGTGGGTGTTTAGGATGAAGCTTAGGCTCACTCTCAACTCACCTACTCATCCAGTATGACAAGCGTTCCTCGTGAGAGCGTCGCACGGCGAGAGAACAAGCGCAAGGGTATTGCACAATGAGAGTTTCGCACAGTGGAAGTCACATAGTGAGTGTTTCGCATGGTAGTGTCGCATGGCAAGAGTCTCGCACACAGTGAGAATGTCGCACGGTAAAAGTTTCGCACACTGGGAGTTTCGCATGGTGCGAGGTATGTCGCACAGTGAGAACGTTGCATTGAGTTTCGCACCTGAGCGGATCGATAGGGCTTGTTTATCGTGTCCCGTGAGCACGCCAAGTGTCAGCGTCTGATTCGCTACATTCGCCTCTACCATGCGCGCTTCGTCCCGCGGCCTGCGCGGGAATTTCGTGTGAAATGACGGGCGCTCGTGACCCAACAACGAGCTCTCGCCACGTGTCCTAGTTGTCAGGAAACAGCTGGCGCAAGCAACCAGGAGAAAAGCTGCTAAGGGCATCACGGGAACGGACCATTGACGACGACGCCTGCTTTCGGGAAACACGCTTACAGCCATGACCCTGTCCCGAAACTCTTTCTTTTCTGTACACTTGAGAATTATGCGTTGATACAGGCGTCGCGAGAGCTACTACCCACTGACACCCTGAACTCACAACCACACCGTTACCCTGAACTAGACGTGTTCAGACTATCAGTCGGTGTATGTGAGCTTCGGCATTGTGTTCAGAACCTCGGAACCGCCGAGCAGAAGATCCTGACCAACTAGCAATAATCCAAGGGCAATTACCTTAGCAGTAACACTCTTGGGGCTCAATCGCCCTCGAGTTAAACTACTTGTCAAAATCATAACAAACATATTAACCATCATTTCAACCCGGTCAACAGTATTGCCTGAATGGTAATGAACAGTGCATTTCGAATTCCAAACTGGTAACTGCTCGTTCCAAACATAGTGTACACCGTACGTACCCTGTATGACTCGGCAAAACGGTAAATGAGAATTGTATATGCTTCGTATTGTAACAAATATGTAATAATTTCACATGTATAACTTAAAAATTCAAATATATTTGATTGTTTTTTAATGTATGCATCTTACTCTTGCACCTGCAATTTTGATTAAAGAAAAATCATAAACTAGTGTTTTTCTTATAAGAATGTCATGTAAAATTATATTTCACAATCTAAATTTACTATCGAACATCATTGTTTCTGACCATACACTTTAATATCTTTTGTGGTGGCGTTATTTGGTATGTAGTGCATCTAATTGATTCACGTGGATTGGGTGTAGCATTTCCATCTTTTGACCCTTTACCATTGTTACAATAAATTAAAATTCGCATTCTGAAAACGTACGTGACATGTTGGTTCCCGTTTCGCTGAATCAAATGCTAATTGTAAGGCGTACAGTTCGGTTGAAGTTTTTGTGATCTGTTAGGCATTCCAGATGCACTGTACATTACCATCTAGGCAATGTTTCTGACGAGCCAGGCATAATGGTTACGATGGAGGCGATTGCAAGATACGTTTGTTACGATTGAGACACGTGGCTTACTTCTGGTGCGAGCGACCCTTATGAATGTTACCGCTGAAATAAATGCGGTAATCCATTAGTACTTTTCAACATACAGTACTTCGTTTTGTGGAATTTATGTTTCTATTGTTTGCTGACTCCTTACGATTCTGAGCACTACATACTGTGTATTGATAACACAAATGGTAATGACAGTAAACTCTCATCCAAAATACCAATAATATAACCCTAATAAGAATTTACGCATCTCTTTTTTTTATAGAAGGCATTTTACTATATCAGAGATACAGCAAAAAAGGCCACAGTCTTAACTTTTGCGCGAGGGGGGACAAATGCACGTAGTGTCACGAGTCACCCCCAGGGGGAGCCTACGGAGGTCTCAATCTAATTCTACGGTCCGTCCAGATGGCCAGAAAATCATCTCGCCGCGCTAGCTTGTTGCCCAATCGTGTGCTGACATTTTCCAGTGCTGTGATCTCATCATTCGCCCGGTGCTTTTTGGCCACGTGTCGTTTCTTCACCCAAGCCTTCCTCTGCTTGATGCCCTCTTAGGTTCGCACATGCAAGCAGAAAGCCGTCACGATACTCCGCATCACCTTCACACACCGAAGCCTCTTCCCCCTGAAGACCGCATGACAGTGCGCCACCCAGATCTTGTGGAACGCAACCGCTGATATCGTCAGCTCTGGGAAGCCGGATGACGTGCCCCCCCGCTGGAACAAAAGGTCACCAAGCGTCTTTATCCTTCTTGACGGATTGAGCCAACGGATGGCTTTGATCAGCGCATGCATCACTGGCTCAATGACGCGGCAGGAAAACAACGCGTGATCCACCATTTCCGCTTCACCATAGTGCGGGCATTTTATCCGCTCCCCCAGGAAGCGCAAACGATCCCCCACTTGAAGGTTAGAGCAATGTACGTGTAGCAGGACATCCCGCGCTTTTGCTGGAACCACGTGCGAGTCCCTGCGCGCAATTACCCTTGGCTTGTTTATCCGCTTCCCCCAACATGTCTCCCACTTCTCCATCCTGGGGTGCTGCCCCGGTTGGCCCTGCTCCTCCTCTAGCTCTACTCTCAGCTGCTTCAGCGAGGCGACGCTGTCCCCCACACACAGGTCCGTTCCCATGAGCCTGACACGAGGGTTGCCCAGCTCCCCCGCCACCCTTTCTCTCGTCATTGCCAACGGTGTGACCTCTGACGTCGATAGCAAGAAAGTTCTCGCCCCTTCCGGCACATACCACGATACTCCATCCTCCCGCCGCCGCATCTTCACGCATTTTAGCATGTTCCCAACCACCTCGATGACCTGCCAAAGCTGCTCCCCGCGATTAATCGTGCGGACCACCCTAGTCACCTCCCATATCTCCTCCGCGCTGAGGCTTTTTAAGATCCTGGTTTTCGATTCCACCGGTATCGCCTCAAAGACCTCCGCCGCCAGCTCCGCTGCCGACTTGCTCCCCAGCAGGCGCTCCGGCTGCACCAACGACTTAGGGTTGCGGGTGTCGTCCACCCATTTCATGAGTAATTCTCCCACCGTGACATTCCTCAGGCACTCGTCCCCCTTCCTTCTCCCAAACGGGCAGCTTCCGCCGCGAAGGATGTGCCGGTTGTAAAAAACGAGCTCCATCTCCACGTCCCATCTGTGTCTGCTTGGCAGGTCTCGGGCTATGGGGAATGCTATCACCACAGCCGCAATCGCCTTCCAGCGCTCACTCCCGCCTCACGCTTTCAGCAAGGCTTCGTGCGCGAAGAATGAGGCGTAGCCGAGGGGTAAGCACACCGCCTTCTCTGCCAGTGCTCTTTTCAGGGAAGACATCTCCGTCAGCAGTTCGCTCGCCGACTAAAGAGCTTCCGCGGCCAGCCGATTCCGGAGGTTAATCACCCCTAGCCCGCCTTCACCTCTCCTCATCTGCACGAGTTCTGCACTTTTAAGGATGAAACCTGGCTCTGTGTTCGCCCTTCCTCCAGACACAAAAGCATGGCAGAGCCGGCGAATCTCCTCCCATATCGTGGCCGGGGGCGGGTACACCTGCGCTTGGAATAGCGCAATAGGCATGACATAGGCATTGATCACTGCCGCCCGCGCCGTTGTGGTAAGGTACTTCTCCTCCCATTTCTTGAGCTCCGCTTCCATTCTACTCACTGCTTTCCGTCAGGAAGGTTTCGCGTCCCCCCCCCCTGATGTGATCCATACACCCAACATGCGCTCGAGCTCATCCGGCACCGCCCACTTGAAGGGAGAGGCCGCGGGCGGCGCCTCATGACGCTGCTTCCCCAGCGACAACACCACAGTTTTGTCGCAGTTCGCCGCCAAGCCCGACATCCTCTCGAAGTCATGGAGCAACACCTCAGCCATGTCCATCTGAGCCTGCCTCTTCAGCAAAAGAGTAGTAACGTCCGCATACCCCAGGTAAGTCAGCCTCCCCGCACCCGTGACGTCCACCCCTAGTCGCCGCCTCTGAGCCTCCTGGCAGAGGGGCTCCACCGCGCAGAGGAAGAGATACGGCACGAGGGGACATCCCTGCCTCACCCCGGTTTGCACCGGTACTTCATCCCCCAACCACCCGTCATTGCAGATGCGTGTCGCTGCGCCGTGATGCAGCCCCTCAACCCACCTCACGTATGCCTCCGGGAAACCCATCCTCCTTAGGACCTCAAACAGGTAATCCCTGGATACTGAGTCGAACGCCTTCCGGAAGTCAACCATGAGGAGAAGCCAATCCTCCTGCCCCGAGTTCGCCGCGTCAATCGCATCCGCCGCAATCGCAACCGCGCTTGCCAGGCTCCTTCCAGGCAAGAATCCAAACTGGCCCATTGACACCACCTTTAGCATGTTTTTCACTATGTTCGCCAAGATTTTCGCCACGATTTTGTACGCCGTGCTGAGCAAGGTGATCGGGCGATAATTCTGCAAGTCCTCCTTGTCCCCTTCTTGTGCATGAGTACTGTCACCGCCGTTGAGAACTCGGCGGGAAGTTCTGCCGTCTGCTCAAACCCCTTCAAGAAGCGCAGTACATGCCCCCCTAACAGGTTCCATTGTACTTCCCACAACTCCTTCGGGAGCCCGTCCCTCCCGGGTGTCTTGCCAGACGCCATTTCTGCCAGCGCGCGCTTGACCTCCGCTTCCTCCCAAGATGCGCTCAACATTGCCGCATCCTCCGGAGAGAAGCATCTATCCATCCTAAAGTCCGGCGGCAAGACCCTCGGCTCGGTCCGCAATGCGAAAAGCTCGGCGTGAAACGTAGACGTTGCTTGAAGGGCTTCCTTAGCGCCGGCGAACTGGCGCCCCTGAAAGACCACCTTCTCCAGCCTCGTCTTCGCCTTCCTCGCCTTGATCTTTCCTGACAGGAAACCGGTAGGAGCCTCCCCGTTCATTTCTACCTTGATTCCCGCTTGCTCCTGCATTTTCTGGCGCCCCTATCCTCATACGCCTTGAGCTTAGTCTCACACTTCACCAATTTTGCCTTAGCCTTTGAACACCAGGGCCTGCTCATCACCCTTTGCCTCAACTCTCCAACCTCTCGCTCCAAATGCGCTGTCGTGGCTGCCACCCTCTTCCGTTCCTCCACTGTGTATGCCTTAAGCCCGACCTTCAGGGAGTTCGTCAGGGCTTCCAGATCTCCGCCTCTTTCCTCGTGCCTCCGCACTATCAGCGAAACCCGCTTCTGCACTCCAGAGCGCGACACTTGCGAGGCCGGGAGTCTCCACAAACCCGGTCCCGCCTCTCCATCTCCACTCGCACTGAGCTTCATGTGAACCGCGGACCAATGGTCCGTGAACCTCTTGACAAGACCCACATGCCGGACCTCATGGATCGAGTGCAGGAGCGACTGCGACACCAGTATGCGGTCAATTCGTGTACTCTCCTGCACTGTCGCTGCAAAAAGGGTATATTCCCTCAGGTACGGATGGATTGCTCTGACAGCGTCTCTGACGTCAAACTTGCTGCAGATCGCCATAAGCCTGTCATTTTCTCCTCTTGATCCAATTCCGGATGTCTTATCTAACGATGGGTCCTCTACCACATTCAGGTCTCCCGCCAGCACCAGATTGCTTCCGCTCGGGATCGCCGCGACAAACGGCTGAAGCACATCCCTGAAGAACGCCCCCCTCGCCGTTGAGTTGGAAGGGAAGTAAGCCGCCACCACTACCGCTGTTACACCCCTCCACGAAACCGTCACCTGCACCAGACGGCCAGAGCTATCTTTGACCAGGTCAGTCAAGGTTACTTCTTTGTTGAGAGAAATAATCGCCACCCCCCCCCCCCTCGCTCTAGCAGCAGGTGAGACCGCGACAACCGAACTAGCTTGTATGTAGGTCCAGAAATTATGATCCTCAGGTAACCTTGTGTCTGCTAGGATAATGATCTGAGCTGCCTGCTTCATCCATTCCCGTGCGTCAAACTGTTTTTGAAAGCAGCCGAGTCCGTTAACGTTTGACACGCTGAATGAGAGGGTGGTGTGTTTACCCATGTGGAACCAGGACAATTAGAGCAGATGCACCATCACATGTCATGTGGGACGCTACGACTACCCCATTCTCTTCCTCCCCTGCCTTCACTTCGCCTTTGCCCCCTCCGCACGGATGCCAAACACCTTCTTCACTGCGTGCAGGCTCTGCTTTGCTTTGCTCGCACGAGTTGCCACTCCCGCTGCTCCCACCGCAGATGCATGGCGGAAGGAGCCGATGTGCGTGCTCACCTGCTCGAAAGTCTCCCCATGAGCATGGTCGCAACACTCCTGGATGCACAGCCACTCCTTCGCACTGGAACCGGTGGAGATCAACACCAGCGCCGGGTCCCGCAGAATCCTCCTGACCACCCCTGCCGCCTGGAGGGAGGCCACTGCAGAGCACAAGCATCACACCACTGTCAGCAAATGATAAGGTAAGAAAGACACTGCAGAGCGCTCTCCCCGGTGCCGGCAAGACCCCACCCCCATTACCGTTAAGCGCATGGACCCTGCCTAACGACAAGTTCCACTTGACGATGTTGTTCTTCCGCTCAATGACATACTCATCATGCAACTTATCCATGTGCTGTCCCTGGCAGAAGCCGCAGGACAGCGACGGAAAGTGCACAAGGTACTTCTTGTCAGTAAGCGGGTCTTCCACCACATGGCGCCAGCGATACGTGTCCCCCGGATGAGGAGCCACCACCCCACGAATCTTGTCCGTGCCAAGACCAGTGACCGGATCCATCACGCGGTGGAAGCCCGCGCCTTGCAGAAACGCCGACTTCCCACGCTTCTGAAGCTTGTGAACCACCAACGACTCGAACACGATTGTCGGCGTGATCTCCGCAGATACACCCTTAAGCAACACCTCTATCCCCTCCGGCATGTCAGCCTTCGCCTTCAGGAAGCCGCTGTTGATCGGGTGCTGCCAGCCAAACGTGTATCGCGTCTTGCCGTCCACCCCACGTGATCTACACGGTATTGCCGGACCACCTCAGCATCCGCGACAGAAGCGAAGGTGACTTGCAGACGGCTGAAACGCGCACGCGACAGGTGTGTAGGAAGTAGCTCTTGAAACAAGAGAGCATCGAATGCTTCCGCCGACAGCCTTTTCCTTAAGAACACCAGCAGAGCATGCACCGACGCCTCCGCCGCGCGAACCTCTTTAGCCAGATCATGCGGGATGAGCAGCGTCAGCGTGACGTGCGCCTTAGCAGCGAGGAGTCCCTTCGCCTTGAGATCGAACCCCTCGTCAGAATCATCACTCATATATCCGTCATCATCTTCATCATCCTCAGATACCCTTGCAGGAAGCTCCTGGCGACGGGATTCTGCAGGCTCCTGAGGATCTGCCACGGTTGACGCAACACCAGCAGGATCAGCAGCAACGACTTGCGGAGCGGGGTTTGTCTCACCCTCGACAACCTCAGGCTCTTGCACAGGCACCTACGGGTCCTCCGAAGACACCATGGTAGAGGAGGCCTTGGTAGTCCTGACTTTCGTAGGCATGCTGAGAATACGAAGACGAGGCGACTGAAGAGAAGCGCTGCATAGGGTGGAAAAACGCGCTCTTAAGTAGCCTTCTTGCTTCTTGCTTGACTTCCATTCCCAGGGTTGTGGTTGTTGAAGCCGAAGCCATGTCAACGCGATCCCCTGTTTCCCGCCAACGTAGCAGGCACAAGTGGCAAGCTCCTGACTTGAATGTCTATTACACCCAGTGAAGCACGAACAGTAGGATCCTAGAGCACTACGCTGCGATAAGCTAGTCCCTAGAGTGGTAAGAACAATGATAAGCCTACTTGGCGAGATGGGAAGCAGCGAGCTGACTGGACCTAGGGGTATCTCTGAAGAAAAGGCAAAGAAAGAGAGAGAAAAAAATATCCCCGTCGCATTCTAATTTCTTATCCTGCGTACCAACAATCCCAAAGCCTTTTTCAATTTGTGAGCTCGAGAGATTAGTTTTCACACAAGATCAAAGTGTGTTGCCAATGTAGCATGCTTGTAAGTGATCAAAACTACCTATATATAATAAAACATCATTTAGAAACAATATGTGTTGATTCATGTGTGGTCCAATTATACATGGATGCTAATTATTTTCTGAGAAACAACGCTCGGATGGCATGCATTTTCTGATAAAATGGCTTGGATATTTATGCTTTACAGTTATTGGTCGGTAGATTTTCAACAATTAAAATTTAAAAGGGGGTGGCGAAACTAGTTGACTATTAAAGCCCGGGGTCAGCATGGTAAATTTTCAAGTTGTGTAGATTTGAAAAAGGCTATAGGTGAGGGTGTATGAAACCTATTTCGGTTGTGTGGCCCTGGCGAGAACTATGTTCCTCCACGAGCAATATAGCAAACCAGCGATACACACCGACCCTGTGCGAAAAATGAGTCGCCTAAGCAGACACGATCCAATCAGAAGGTTTCAAAATCTCACAAAGAACATGGTAAGTGTGGCTGCAGTAGAAGTCTCCTCCTCACAACACAACTGACTCAACTCGACTGTGCTAACGGGAAATAGAAAAACAGCGACGCATGTACTACTAACGATACCATCTACTCAGACTGATATCGGCAAATAGATGCCGACAAAGCAAACGTATTCGACACGAGGCTCACCTTATAACCCCCCCTCAACAAGAGCTCGCAACAACACAGCACTGGGGAGTGTAGGAACGTGCTAGTGCGTTATAAACATACGGGAAGAAGTGGTGTTGAGGAAGCATTGGAGAAACGAGGAAATGTCCTCCTGATGACATTGACTACACGTACAAGAGCTACTCAACAAGAGAAACCCTCATTTAGTTCAGGCGTCTCAATAATTGAGAAGAACGGGGTTACGATTCGGTCTTCTGAAATCGCCCACAGGGCGTGGAGCATAGTGCGTAACTGGCGAAGGTGCAGACCGCGCGTGGGTCACACGTGTAGTGCCCCGCGCGGCGCGAGTCCCAAGCACATGCCCTGTTTTTGGGAGCAAAACCCGCTCCAGACATTTAGCTAGCGTTCCTGGCGACGCACAGCGCCCTCACCAGGCGACGCGCAGCTCCCTCACCAAGAGACGCACATCGCCCGCACCGGGCGATGCGCAGCGCGCGCATTGGGTGACGAGCAGCCCGCGTGACTGCACGACTATCAGCGGTGGAGACTGGACGACGAGCAGAGCGTGCGCTGGCGACACGCAGCTCACGCTCCAGGTGACCGGGCTACGACCACCCTGTGCAGAACTCCTGAGAGGACTTTCTGCTTTTAAGGGGATCGCGGGGGCAGCACAAGCCCCCGCGGATTGATCGAGAGGTTACCCCGGGTGATACCCCACTTCCTTGCTAGTCGACTACAGTGTAGAGTACGAGTTGCTGCTGCCTTGGGGGTTCGATACGCTACTGTTTGAGGCCAAGGCACAACAACCAATGTTGATGCTGCCTTGGGCCTGCTGTCACCACCATCCACGCACCTGTTCTGTCCCAAGGCAGCAGCAACCAACGTTGCTGCTGCCTTGGGCCAGCTGTCACCATCATGCACTCACCCGTTCTGTCCCAAGGCAGCAGCAACCAATGTTGCTGCTGCCTTGGGCCTGCTGTCACCATCATGCACGCACCTGTTCGGTCCCAAGGCACCAGCAACCAATGTTGCTGCTGCCTTGGGCCTGCTTTCACCACCACGCACGCACCTGTTCTGTCCCAAGGCACCAGCAACCAATGCTGCTGCCTTGAGCCTGCTATCACCATCATGCACGCACCCGTTCTAATCATGCCATGCCATGCCCTGCCCTGCCCTGGCCTGCCCTGTCCTGCCCCGCCCCGCCCTTGTCTGCACCCTCTATGCATGACATGCCATGCCTGGAGGGGCTATGCCCTGCCCGCCCCGCCCTGGTCTATTCCAAGGACATAATCTGTGTCAAACATTGTATGTTTATATTGTGTAGGCTGTAGTGGGTTACACCTTAGGGGGTACACAAAGTTAGGGTTTCCTACTTGTACCAAACTCTGTGCTAGTTCATTTCATTCCAGTCTCGTAAAATGACATGGTTTCAGAGCAGGTCCTTCCCTAGGACCGTTCTTAAGGGCCCACCTACCTACCTACCTACCTACATACCTATCAAGCGCCCCTAGTGCGCCTCCTATTGCGCCCCTAGTGCGCCTCCTATTGCGCCCCTAGTGCGCCATCTTTTTTTTACCGCGCGCGACCAGCCAGCAGCCCGCGCGCGGCCATTTTTCGCGCGCGGTTAGCTAGCCGCCGGCGCGCGCGGTTATTTTTTCTTCGCGCGCGGCCCGTCGCACTGCCCGCGCGCCTTGTGTGCTGCGCTCGGCCCCCCCCGCGCTTTCGTCGCCGCGGTCGGGCCTGCAGCAACAGCCGCGGCAGAGACTGCAGTCGCGGCTGTCGCAACTGCTGCAGCAGCCGCCGCCGCCTCTCCTGCCGCGGCCGCCGCTGCATCTACAGCAGCTGCAGCCGCCGCATCTACTGCAGCAGCCGCCGCTGCAGCTACAACAGCAACAGCCGTTGCATCTACAGCAGCAGCAGCCGCCGCTGCATCTACAGCAGCAGCAGCCGCCGCACCTTCTGCAGCAGCCGCCACTGCATCTACAGCAGCAGCAGCTGCCGCATCATCTACAGCAGCGGCCGCCGCAGCTACAGCAGCATCTACTCCATCGGCCGCCGCCGGCCCTGCAGTCCCTACTCTAGCCGAACCTGCAGCAACTGCCGCCGCTGTCGCGACTGCCCCGGCCCTGCCTTGCCCTGCTGCTACTGTCACTACCACTTTTATTACTTATTTTTCCTCCTCCTGCTACCATGGCTACTGCTCCTGTTCTAGCCTTCGACGCTGAGGGCCGCCCAGTGAAATTTGACACCTGGCTCGATGATCTGCACCTTTTCCTACAGCTCACTGCCAAGGAAGACATTTCACTGTACGACCACGCCCTAGGCCATGCTACTGCCCCTGACTCCTCTGCTGCTAGCACACTGCGCTCCCAGTGGCAGACCCGCGACGCACACGCTCGCTTTGCTATCCGCAACTCCCTGCCGCTAGATGAGCGCGAGCACTTCGGCCAGTGCAAGACTGCTAAGGAACTGTACACAGCCGTAGTTGCTCGCTACTCCTCGCCTGCGTCTGCCACCCTAGGCCGCCTCTCCCTGCCCTACCTGTTCCCCGACCTGGCCTCCTTTCACACTGTCGCTGATCTCATCACCCACCTCAAGACTAGTGAGGCCCGTTTTCGCGCTGCTATGCCTGCCGAGTTCCTTGCTAGCAACCCCCCCCCGCTC